GCCCCGAGGAGCTTACAGCAAGGGGGAACCGCGTAAAACCCGCGGGTTCCCCCACCCCCGGGCATCAGCCTTCCTCGGCAGCCGCAGCCCGCCCCTCCTTTCAGACGTCCGGGGAGCTTTTTGCCAGATTAAGAGCCGGTTTGGGAGGTGCCGCCAGAGCAGAACTAGACCTCCCTGGGGAGTCACCTCGGGGACGTGTCACGTCTGAACTCAACAGGACGCGCCCCGGCCTCCCTTGTTCTCTCCCCCCCCCCAACACACCATAAATAAGGGCTTGGAGAAGTTACCTCAGGGGAACCCCGACTCCCTGAACTCCTCAGCTGGTTCCGGGAGTTGCAGTTTCCCAAAGCAACTTTTCCCAAGTTTTGCTTACAACAAACCTGTGAGACAAAACTGGCCGGGGTGGGAAGAGGTTGAAAAGCCTCGCGCCGGAGCTTTTAAACTTGTTGGCTTACAAGGCCTGACCGTCTGTGGAGTACAAGAAAAGCGAGGTCTAGGACTCAGCAGAGGAGAAAACAGAGGGAACCGAGTAACTACAACTCCCAGAATCCCCCAGCCGGCGTTCCAAGTGGCAGCCAGGCCAAGGGGGTCCATCATGTCCTTGACAGGAGAGAGTGTGTGCAATCTGGCTTGCCTTTTTTTTGGGGGGGGGGAAGAGGGCCTGGCCCTTGTGCCTGATTGACAGGCCTTCCCAGATTACTCATGGGAAGTGGGCAAAAAAAGGGCCCACCGCTGAATGCCACCTGGCACCACCATGACGGCATTCTTGCAAGCTGCCAGAGAAACCCACCAATGACAGCCGGATGAAGCCCGGACATCTGTTCCAGTTTTTCTCACGTCCCAGCGTTGCTGCGGAAATCCAGCCCTATTCACAAGTCATTCTTCTCCAAGTACAATCAGATGTGGTTGCTAAATCCAGTTTACATGCCCGTCCCCCTTGGTTGGGTCAAAAAAAAAAAAAATCAACTGTTTCCCAACTCTTTCCCCTCCCCCCCTCCACGTATACCCAGAGAAGTTTGCTGGGAGACCCACGAGGTAGCCACCATTGACTTATTTCCCTTTTTTCTATTCTTTTCTTTGCTTCTTTTCACCCCATCCCCCCCTCTCCTGCTCACCCCTCCCCCATACCTGTGTCAGCCTAGTGGGGAGGGTCAGCAGCGCTGGCCTTGGGAAAAGAGAAAGGGCAGGAAAGATGCATGCTGTGAGGTTGTGACACCTTGGAGAAAACCAAAACCTGTAATTCTAGTTCTTGAGTTGCTGGACTCAGAGAGGACAGCTTGATTTATGCAGAGGCCCAGACCCTGGATCCGCCTGCAATACGGGAGCCCTTATATATTCCATCCAGACCTTTGAGTTCATGAGATGACAGGTCTAGCAAGTTCTGCCTTTGTTCCCACGGTTGTCGACCAGTTCCCAATAACGGTGGTGTAACAATTCGTAACAGTAACTGGCACAGAGAAGCCGGTTTTGCCTCTGGTACTGCATGTAACCCATAAACCATCATTACCCACTGAGAAATTTAAGCTTTCCCTCTCTTTTACGCAGATATGTACACACATCCTTGTGGTTGGCGACTCCATTTTCAGGGGTGCTGTAACTCCACTCCATGTTTTACCCTTCTCTTGGCAGGAGCTCTCCAAGGTGCTGAACCTATTTTGAGGGTAGGGTTCAACTCCTAAAAACCACAGCCTAAAATCTCACACCAGCTGTGAAATTAGAGTTGTTGCCAGCTGCCACAGTGGGCACGCCAGGATCCTCAAGTCCCAGAGCACTGGCTGAAGTCCAAAGAAACTGGGTGGCAGAAACAAATGAAGAGGAGAGTGAAATGGCTTTGAAGCATGCACGTCTACCACCCTGTTCCCACTTGCTGCCACATTTCATTGACCCAGCTTGAGAGCTGTTGGGTGCTCCAGATGGTACGATGGGCTCAAGCACATGCACCTGCTGCTTAGTTCTCCCGGTTCCTCACTCCTGCCTTTTTTGCATTCCCAACCTCATTTGGGGCAGAGAAGGGAGTGGAGTTCCGGCACCATGGCTCCTGAACCTCCTTGTTGCTCAAGCACTGCCAGTAAGCATGCCAAACCTGGAAGGACCCCCCTTTTCTTGCCCGTCTCACCTCTAGGGTGTCACAAGTTCTGCCTCTTTCTTTCACGGCTTTGCCCTAAAATCTTAGGAAACAGGGTACCAATGAATGATTTGGCCACTGTAAGGCATACACACAGATATGGGGGGGGGAGAGCAAATATACTGGCCCATATACTGCCCCATAGCGCTTCCCTCCCCCCAGAAAGCTGGGTACTCATTTTGCCAACCTCTGAAGAGGGAAAGGCTGAGTCAACCTTGTGTCAGTTACCTGGGTCTGAACCCAGGGCAGGAGCAGAGTTTTGGCTGCATTACTGCAATTTAACTACTGTCCCCCAAGGCTCCTTATTTACATATCCGTAGGCAATGCATGTCAAGCTTGCCCTTCAGAATGCTCTTGGTTCAACATTGCTTCGGGGTTCGTAACATGCTGTTCTTGCTCACCCAGTCTTGCACGCTTTCCATGCAGTAAATCCACACATTGCCAGGAGAGAGAGAGAAGGAGGGAGGAAAAAAAACACAGGGAAGGGTCACCCATCATTTAGACCCAAAGTAAAATCCTTTCCAAACCAGCATAGTCTCCGATGGCATTTGGTTCTTGTGTCTCCCTTTTTGAAAACCAAACAAGGAGAGGTCACTGCATAACGATTCATTTTTTGCACAGTTACTGCCTTTTTGGGTTCCCTCCCCTTATGGTTGGTATGTGTGTTTTTAAGCCTTGGTTTCCCCCCCTCCCCAAATATTGACTGTGTTATATACAAATATTATTTCCTTATAGCTTTTTAGAAATGCTCAGCTATATTTTATGATAATTTACAACTGTATGGCTTTATACTTGCATCGTATACTGGTCAGGGTTCTTCTGGTGGAAGAGAAGGAGCTTACTTAATTAACTGATTATCACTAATTATACTTATTCATTTGCATCCCCTGTTATTCCATACTTTCTCTCTTCGCTCTGCCTCTCCTACTGGTAAAGTTTAGGAGACATCATGCTCGGAGGCAAAGATGTGTTCTCTCTGTTTTGTTCGCTTTGCTGACGTAACTCTGTCAAATGCCATGTCCGTCGGTGTCACGAAAGATGCAATCCTACCGCCCCTTAGACATTTCCCCAGGAGACATAGGCTGTTTGGGATCTTTCCCTCCAAGCGCGGAAAAATAGATCCAACCTTGAAGTTAAAGATCTGACCTTGTAAAGTGGCTGCTGGCAACTCTGGAGGCTTCTGTGCCAAACTATGCTGTTAAATGAGACAGGAAGCCTCCGGAGCATTTTTCTCTTCTGATGAGATGTCTTCCTTGCAATCCCTTCTTCTTCAAGTAGCTACTGCCCCTTGAACAAGCAACATTCCTGAGAGGTCTCCAAGGGCAGCCCCAGAGAGACCATTAGGCTGCAGTAGTCAAGTCTGAAGTATCTCCATTTAAAAGATCTCAGAGGAAACAATTTATTTATTATTTCTTATATTTATATACTGCTCCACTAGTGCGATGCATGGGGAAATATCTCTTTTGGAGATTTGGGAACGATGGTGCCAAATAGATCTGGAAGTTAGTCAGTGATCCTGTGTTGGCCGCCTTCGTAAACGCCGGGATTATATCTGTCCTCTGTAAGCAGAGCACTGGCTTTGCAGGGGAAAAAAGTTTCATCCTGGGGAATTCTCCAGTTCAAGGAGATTTTAAGTCCCCGCAGTTTGGGGCTGAAAAACACTGACCCAGAGGCTTCAAGGGAGGGTCAGAAAGAACGCTTGAAACCTTGCAAATCTGGAGCCGGCCGGTGTCAGCTGCATTAGGCAAGACAAACAGAAGGACTGATTCGAAACAAGACATCTTCCCTATGCACGAATGATCTGGCTCGTTAGAAGTCACATTTAGGTGGCAACGCTTACCTCTACTTTAAGCGCGGCACATCCTTTTAAGAATTCCTTGATGTTGGCGAGGCAGTCGGCTTCTGTCTTGGGTTCCGGGCAATACTGTAAGAAAGCAAAACCCCGCAAGAAACAGAGCGTGAGGTGCAGAACAACTCCGTGTCAGAAACAGCCTGCCTTTCTCTCTGTCAACTGGGCTGGATATTAGGCTGTGTATATTTGTAACTGGATGAGACAGCTTGGTGCTGCGTAGATTTTTGCAAGAACGTGGGCTGCCGTGGGTGGGCGGGTGTGCGGGAAGTGCAGAGGCAAGCTGTCATACTAAGGAGTGAGCAGTGCTGGATGTGACTGGGTACAACCTGGCTTTCTTGTTCGTGCTGCGACTTTTTATTGTTTTCCGAGTGCTGTTGTTTCAAGCATTTATTTTGTATTTTATTGTTTTGTCATGCATCCCCTTGTAAGCTGCTTTGAAAAGTTTCATAGTGGGGGCGGTGAGGTTAAAAACAGAGCCCAGTATCCTGTTTCGGAGAAGCATTCGCTAGTGTGGGCAGTGAATGCTGGAGTTTTTGCAACCTCGCATGCTGCTTTTAGGAGGTTTGGCTGGGAGGGACCTTTCTGGGTTGGGCTGACTGTCAATCTATCCAGCACTAACCAATCATTCCTTCCCTGCCTCTGAATTCAAAGAGAGCCACGCCCCTCTGCTAAGTGTGCTTTTCCCCTCTTCTGAGTCTGTTGGAAGCAGTGGGTCTGTTGACGTCTGTTGCTGAAAATGGTCATGTTTGTCAGTTTTGGTCTGCTCAGTTGTAAGTAATGAATGGATGAGTGCGTTACTGAGACTGTAAGTGCCAGCTGATGAGAACAAAAGGGGGAGTACTCTGGGGAATTTCTGCTCTGTGAATCCCTGAACTTTTGCCGCACATCCAAAGGAATTCAACCAGCAATTAGAAACTCAGCAACAGTGAAAGGTTCTGGAATGATAGTCTAAAACAGTAACTTTTCATAACTCTGTTTCTGCATAAGGGGAGAAAATCATAAGCAAAACTGAACAGCTTCAGCTGTTGGTGGTTGCAACGTTACTCAACAGCATGGAGACAAGGCAGTTGACATCTTAGAAACCACAGACAGTCCTCCGTAAGATTTCGAGGCCGAGAGACTGTGAGTGTGTGTCCTGCATCCTGCTAAGCAACACACTCTTCCTGTACTTCATGAAAAAAATGCTGCACCCACAGTGCATTAGGGAGGCAAACAAGGCGGATTAAAATGAGGCATGAAAAGAGTGAATTAGGCACCTGTCCAGGTTTTGGTCATTCCTAGCGCCAGATTTGACCGTCAGGGGTGGAAATCACGATTTACTGGGGTAAGAGTGGAACATTGAAAGCACACTTTGGTGAAGTCACTGCTTTTGCAGGGTGACTCCTAGGGTCGCCCAGCTGGCCTGGGCATGCTGGCCGGGGGATTCTGGGAGTTGTAATCCGAGAAAGGAAGTCTACTAGGTTCTGAGTCTGATTAGAACACAGAACCCACAAACACACAGAAATCCCTGAGGTTTAATGTCCTTCTTCCGCAACCGGAGCAGACGCTTCTTAGGCAGGACAAGGAAGAGGGGGGGAAAAAGAACGAACCAGATGCTTTTGACTTGGCTCACGTACATTTAGGGAAGAATCCGACTGTACGGGCTGTTCTCGAAGCACCCAGGGAGGCAGTCTGAATGACTTTGCAGTCAAAAGGTTCCTCTTTTGTTTTTGAGAAATACAGAGGAAGTGATCAGGCACAGAAAGGGGAGGCGGGCTATTTACACCTCCTCAGCCCTCATGTATTTCACGACCATTTCCTCTTTGTCAAGTTCTTCTCTGGTTCATGCATGTCTTGCAACGCTTGCTGATTTGGGCTCCGATCCCACACCTTCCCAAGGTTCAGATCCACGGGGCGTGACAAACGGAGGAACACCATTTGTTTATCTCAGTGCCAACCCTCCCTGGTCTCCTCTCTCAGCTATGCTGTCCACTATCTTGGTGGCCCCATAAGTGTCCCCCACCGTGTGAAAGGAACTGGGATCAGAAGGGCAGTCTTCCCCGACTGTATCTGAGAAGCAAGCAAGACACCATAGGTACATCCAGGCAGAGCTAAGGTGTTCAGACTAGTAGGCATTCCAGAGAGAGACACGAACTGAATAAATTCCAAAGAATAACAGGCATTGCGTCCTACATTAGCAATGTTTACAGTAAGCAAATGGGCTTAAATGTCGCACCATTTGAGAGACGCACGCTGTCCAGAAGATGCTGGAGCCTGCCATGCAGAGATGAAACTTTGTTGTGAGTGTTGGCAACGTAGTAAACTTGATTCCCTTCCCTTTTGCAAATACTGGCGTCCTCCGATGGCCACGAGGGCCAGCTTGAAATGAAAGGACCGCATCTCAAGGGCATCTGGTGGGCTACGTATTCCAAATCTCTACACTAGAGACAATTGTAAGCGAGCCATCATTTTGTTTTTCAGTAGCCACATCTTCCAATCCTTGTCCAAAATATGTAGGTAATACCAGCAGCCTCTCCTAAATGGTTGTACAAAAGCCAGGGAGACGTGGATGGAGGGCTTGGTGAGAGGTCTCTGGCTGCAGAGAAAGAGATCGGAGATTCGATACTCGCTGTGCGTCCGAGAAGAGCCAGCCTGGGTGGCCTTGGGCCAGCTGCGCACTCCCAGGAAAGAAGGGAGTGGAAGACCCTGAACAGAGTGGCACTAAATCTGAATTAGCTTAAGGGCACACAGATATTATTAATAAAGCCGGGGGGGCTAAGAACCTCTTTCAGCAGGAATGATTAAGACAATTGTTAAAGGGGACTGCATTCAAGTGGTCCATGTGCCCAAAAGCTCAAAGGCTGAGACCCAAAATATTTCAGTTTAAAGTTCTTCCCGTCAAGAACTAAGCCTTGGGGGAGCATTTGGACGATGAGAAAAATAATAACGAAGCTGTAAAACTAGCCAATGTTGGTGTCACGGGGGAGGGGGAGGGTGGCTGTCTGGGGAACCCCTACCCCAGATGGCCAGATGGGAACCCCGAGAAGGCGGGGCTTAGTCCCAGGGCTTCTTTCTCTCTGCCCCCGTTCTAAAAATACTTGAAATGAGTTATGATAAATGCAAAATAAATAAATGGAACCAGGCCTGCCCTTCATAACAGCACTGACCCAGTTTCTGGCTGGCTAGCATATCCATTTCTTCCACCTGGAATCTAGGCTTCTCACATTCCTCTCAGGAATGGCATGACAGAGTTTCCCGTGGTACCAGAGTGACATTAGAAACAGAGATCCAGGGCTTATAATGATGATTCACTTTTAATTCTTCTTGCAAAGAATAAAATCCAATCAAAATCTGCATTGAAATGCAACAGGGCTCAGTTTTGGAGCACCCCATGTTTGCAGAAAGCAGAAGCGTTTACAAGGGCTGCTCCCCTCTCCTCCAATCTTTTCCAGAGCTTAGAAAAGTCATTTTTTTTAACTGCACATTTGCTGCGGTGGCTTTTGCCAACTAGAGGATTCTGGGAGCTGTAGTCTCAAAAGGCAAAGCCAAGAAGGAGCCGTTATTGGTTGTTCCTGATTAGCCTGGGATCTGCAACATTTTGGGAGAAGATACAGAGAGAATAACCCCAAAACCACCCTGGCTGGATGCTGAAACTTTGGAACGTGCAGTTAAACGAACGAACGAACGAACGAACCTCCTCTGCTTCTGAACTTTTAACAATCTAAAAAAAAGGCATTACCCTCCTTTGCTTTCTGGATTTTATCCAAGGATCATGCTTTTGGCTGTTTTTTTTAAAAAAAATCCTTGGAAGCAACCACTAAGTTCTGCATTTTCTTTGTTTCCCACAAAGAACGGGGTGGAGGAGATGAGTCACAAAAAGAACTTCCTTAGACTTACCTTTTCTATAGATCCTGGGAGAAGTCGAAGAATCAGCTTGCACAGCACAACCCCGTCTTTCAGGGACGTTTTAAGGAACTGCACGGGGTCCCCGATCATCATCTTGGGAGAATTTAAGGCTCCTAAGGAAATCAGCCAGGTCACCACTTGCTCCTCTGGGTTCATCGCCGAAGGTCTTCTGGCCTCCAACCGCCCAGATGTGATGTGCAATGGCAGGGCCTAACCCACATCCGCGGCTGTGCCTTTTCCTGCTGGGGTGGGGGGCGTGAGCAAAGTACCTCTAGATGTGCGCCAAAAGCCACAAACGGGTGGCGTTGCAGTTTGAAGAAAGGTTTTTAAAAGAGATCGCCAGAAACTGACAGGGATCCTGGAGGAACAGGTTGGTTCACATTTGCATGCTGGGTTTCTGGTGTTTTTGTGATTGTGTGTGCAGAAGTACGAAGCGGAAGAGCTGTCGGTCCGGGACGTTTTGCAGTAAACAGAGATTTCCTGTATCTCTGTCTCTAAGCTTTTTATTCCGCTCTCCCTCCATGTACAAACCAGCCTTGAGCAGCGCCCCAAACCTGGAGGTGGGCAGAAGCCAGGATGGGCAGAGAACTGCATGCGCGGTGCCAGCTTGCTGTGGAAGGAGGCCAGAGGTAGAAGCCCAGGGTCTCAGAATGTGAGCGATAACATAACATTGCCAACCAGAGCCAGGGGGAAAATTTCTTTTGCTCAGCCCCACAAGTAGTTGTGGCAATTCCCATCGTTAAGAAAGGGCTCCGATCTCATGCTACCTTATTTGGAATTCACGTGGCACCGGTGGACTTTTTTCCTGGGCTGTATCTGACTGCCGAGATTCATGGAAAGCTCACCAATTGCTCATGAGCAGATTTCACACAGCCCTCCCCCCCCAGATCTCATGCTACCTTATTTGCAATTCATGTGGCATCAGTGGACTTTTTTCCTGGGCTGTATCCGACTGCTGAGTTTCATGGAAAGCTCACCAATGGCTCATGAGCAGATTTCACACAGATTTCCCCCAAGGGCCTGGCGGAGTGGTTGTTGCCGAGTCTTGTACAGCCAGAAAGCACCTGAGTTCTGATGCTGGGGTTCAGAGACATATATAATTAAGAGATTTTAGTGCCTGAAGGTTCACTGCCCTGTTGGTTATGCTTAGTTTATGTCGGACTGGCTTGGTTTATGTCGGATGAATACAGGGATGTGAAGGTGGGACAGCTATACTGGCTTCACGAGCAGAGTCTTGACTGCAGTGCTGCAATTTAACCACTGCAACGTGAGGCCCCCATTGCATCTGAATGCCATACTTCTCTCCAGCTTCCGTTTCTTGCTCTTGACTTATGTAAGCACCACACACCCACACTAACACCTTCACCCGATCCAATAAGCCTGGAGGTCACATGGAAATACAGCCAACGTTCACACAGAGACCCAGAGGAACATCGCAATTACGCGATACAGAGCAATCCTGGGCTACAACTGCAGTAGAAAAAAGGTAGTGGTGAAAATGGCTGTTAAGTGGGCGAATGTTCACTTAGGGAATAGGACTGTCTTAAGATTTTATTTGCTTCATTGCACGGTTTATAGAGCTCTATTCCAGGAAGATTTGGGTGTGCAAGTTAAAACAGGGACTGTCTTAAGATTTTGCTTCATTGCACGGTTTATAGGGCTCTATTACAGGAAGATTTGGGTGTGCAAGTTAAAACACAAGTGCCCAAAGAGTAAATGCAAGTTCATCAGCACAACCAGCAGGACTGTGATTTCCAGCCGCAAAGTAAATGCCTACTTTACATTTATTTAAAATTAAATGATGCCCTGCACTCTACATGGAGAGCCTCTACAGAGCTAGAAATGTGGGTTGATTGGTGTGGTGTTTCTGTAAATTGACCATGAACATGCATAAGATGGACTGGTGTGGTAATGCTGCAAAAGGGGAAGGTATACTCATTGGTTTGTGTTGGAAACCATGGTGCATCATCCAGAATGGAAGGATCAAGGCGTCCGGGAGCTGCCCTCGCCCAAGGAACTCCCAAATGAACCCACAGTCCTCAAATTAATCTAGGAAGCTCCTTCTGTGTGCCCCCACAGAAGGTATGAAAGGGTAGGTGATTTCCTGGAAGGTGACTGTAGTTTAACCACCCTATGGGGGGGGGGGAAGGAGGGGAAATGAATATTTTGTCCTTATCTGGGGCTGCTTGCTGCTGTTAAAAACTTTTTTCCTTGGTAATAATGCTCCTCTGCTTCTAGTACACGATCATAAAGGGCAGCTTCTGCTTTGTAACACAGAAGCATCAACAAAAATATTTTCGGAATAGATTTGAAAACAAACGCAGGCATCTTTCAAGATGCCACCCTGCAACGCTGCCACTTGTTTTTCTCAGCAGCAGCTTCAGCTTCCTGCCTCCTCCCCCCTCGGGCCTCACAGTTCTCTTTGGGATTGCAAGGCAGAAACCCTTTGCTTCACCATCCACTGATACGACCCGATACTACAGGCCTGAAGACGTTTCGACAGAAGAGGTGGCCTCGCTCTGGTTCTTGAAACCTAGACCAACATCTCCCCCTATTGGCAGCTCCAAGCATGGCTCAAGCCAGAGTAAAAAATCAGGGATGGCGATGAATTCACAAACTCACTTGGTGGCCTTTCCAAACCATTCTTTTTCACTATACATGGTCCTGAATGCTTATCCCCCTGGGAATGACATGCTGTGATCACAGCTTTATTCTTAGCTTCACAAGCTAATTCAGGCACATGAATTGTGTCTCGATTCTGCCAGAGATGCCACATCCGGTGAAAATGAAGGAAAGCACACTACGAAGGAGTGGAAGCTGGGGAGACACTATCAGGCAAAGTGATGCTGCATCATATGGATCCTTCCTCCTTCAAAAGCTTCAAACCATAAAGCCAGGCACCAGGCAAAACCTGCATTTGGCAGCAGACTGAAGGTTGTGTACTGAAGTGGCAAGCCACAATTTCTAATGGATTTGCATCACACGGCAAATGTTTTCGAGTACCTTTTTGAAAACTGATAAGGAAGACGGGGGAAAGAACCCTACTTGCCAGGCCTGTCCAAGCCAAGCATAACATCTGTCGTATTACAGTACACAAATAGGAATAAAAAGCAAGCAACCCACAGATCCTATTTGTGCCTTAATGCTTAAGGTTCCATTCTCATGATTGGACTCTTTAGTAAAGCACACCTGTTAAGGTGGGCCATGCATGACCCTTCAGGTATGGTTACACTGCAACTCCTCTCACAACACCCAGGGCCGATGGGAACCACAGCCATCCCTTGCCATCACTGCATTACCTTGGACCTTGCTTCCAAATAAACCTACGTTATGTTGTTGGCACTGAATGTACAGCAGACACAGGCTCTGAATGTCTGGAAGAACACGCAAGGCTATCTTTCCTCCCTGGCCACAGTAAGAATCAAGCCCCAGACTCGGTCGCATAAGGGCCTTTTCAAATTGAAATCTACATTGCAAGCAAAGAATTTGGCCAGAAAGGGTTCGGAGCTCCAGTAAAATCTCCCTAAATTTCAGATCTACAAAAATATTCTCACAGAAGAATGTAGATGTAAAACGAAGTGTGAAAAGCCCACTGGAAACAATACTCACCAAACATTGAACTCTATCTCTGATGCTCAGCCCCTTTGCTGGGCATCTCAGTTCACCTGAGATTAGCCTAGACTGCTATGTGTTCTGTTCTAAAAAGTGTGTCCTCATTTAAGGACTTAAGTTTTGGGGAAAAAAATGAATCCAAGAGAAAGGTAACACTTTATTTAGACAACCACCAAATGAAGAGAACAATCTTGGGTTCGGTTGGGCACTGCCAAGTTTCTGGTTTCGTTTGTTTTTAAAAGATCTAGATTGGAAAAAAAAAATCTTCATAGCTTTAAACCCTAATTCTTAAATGTATACAATTCTGTCCATTCCACAAGTGGCAGCCCATTTGACAAAATGTGTTACACCAATTTATATACAAATTCAAGAGACATTACATGGAGTAAATCTCCAGCCCACAGCATTCAAAAGGTGAATGAATACTGCTGTCTTGAAATGCTATGGGTGGCTTCTTAATAAAGGATTCTCTCATTTGCCTTCCAGTGCAAAACTTTGACCAGCGAAGCCATATGGTCTGCGGCCTCCTATAGCTGTATGCTGTTGTAGCTTTATTGAGCACCCATTAGTATACCTAATTCAGAGGATCCAGATGGTTTTTTAAAAATACCACTAAGCAGCAAATGAAATGCTACAAGATTATCATCCGTAAGATGCAAGTCATTTGCAAACCAGCTGTTCTGACATTTGAAACAATTCTTCTCATCTTGCTAACCACCAACGTTAGCACAGCCAAAGGATCATGGCATTTTAAAACCCAAGCCACCTCTGAAGTGTCTTCTTTAACTTTACAGCTATCATTTATGCTTCCTCAGCAACTGCATTTTCTGTTGGCATCCACTTTTTGAATGTCATCCATCATTTGTACCTAAAACATACAGAACAGTATTAAAAATATGTATTACAGGAGGAAGTCAAAAAGCTGTGACCTATTCAAAGCCATTAAAGAATGAGCAGATCTGGTTTAAAAGTCAGAAGTGGACACAGTACCCTTAAAATATAGATGGCTCGATACAGTGCCACCTTTGTAAATTAGTAATACCCAGAAGAAAACAGATTTATGTCCATTTAAGTGCTTTAGCAGCTTAGTTTCTTAGTACTGAACATAACTTACAAAACAGACCTAAGAGATTTAAGGTTGCAGTATTCTAAATACAGTGGTGCCCCACTTGACGACATTAATCCGTTCCATTAAAATCGCTGTTCAGCGATATCGTCGTCAAATGAAAGGAAAAAAACCCATTGGAATGCATTGAAAACTGGTTCAATGCGTTCCAATAGGCGAAATACCTCATCATAAAGCGAAAATCCTCCATAGGGGAAGCCATTTTTGATCGCTGTCTTCCAGAAATAGGTACAGAAAACAGCTGTTTTTGATCCTCGGGGGAGCGAAAAATCAGTTCTTGAAGCTGGGAATCGATTGTCGTGAAGCATATTTTCCCCATTGAAACATCGTTTTGCGATCGCAAAAACCTCATCGCAAAGCGATTTAATCGTCTACCGGGGTAATCGTCAAGTGGGGCACCACTGTACTATCATTAAGGGTACACCATGTAGCACCGAAAACCTCCAGAACTTTGAGCACAACCTTCATTTATACAAATGTGGAAGTTTTTATAGAAGTAATGTAGTGTTTCCCAGAAAATAAGGCAGGGTCTTATATTAATTTTTGCTCCAAAAAATGCAGTAGGGCTTATTTTCAGGGGATGTTTCATTTTTATTTTTTTATATACAACAGTCTACATTTATTCAAACAGGCATGTCATCTTCTGGTTGCTGCATAATGCTGGAGGGTAGGGTTTCACTTAACTAGGACTTATTTTTGGGGAAACGGTATTAAAAGGCCTGTTACAGAAAACCTTTTGTACTTTGTAACAAACCAGGTGCAAAAAAGAAACATTGTGGCATTGGCTTTAAAACACCTATGCATTGGTCTGGCAGACACAAGATAGAAAACTTTCAAAATAGGCAAGTTGCTACCCTATTTATAACTTGTTCCACTGTTAAGATCTCAACATCTTAATGAAAAATGTCTGTGGTTTATGAGGTGAAGTCCATCGGTCCAATTTCAAATCCCACTCTTATGTGCAAAAATATTAAGCTAAGCCATTTCTATTGTTCTGAAAACCTCACAATCTACCCAGGGCTTACCTGTTCTACCGCTGCGCCCAAGATCCACGTTGCTCGTTAGCAACGTTTACACTGTGCTTCAGAATCACATCACCTTAAAGCCTGGGTGTGGTTATCCTGCAACAATTGAAGGTATGAAAAATTATACTAACATTAATTACCCAAGCCCACGAATGCCACCCTACCCCAAGCACCAAAGTTTGCATATTAATTTGTTTCAAGATCTAATGCTTTTAGAGTTTGACAGGTGGAAGGTTCACTGGATTGGAATGAACTGGAATGGCTTAGTGACAGGTTGTATGGCTTATGGATTCTTATTTTTCTTTCCAATGATGCTTTTCATGGTAAATCCATTAACTTGACTGGCAAATATGTTTTTGAGGATTATAGCAGGACTTTAGTTGGAGGTCTTCAAGTCTTACTACATTTCAAGAGTATCTTTTGCACTTCCCGGCTGCACCTGGGTCATGGACAACGTGCCATAGGGCTCTGCCACTGGTATCAGAACTCCCCACAAAAGACTACAGTATAAAGAAAAAATGTCAGGCATCCAACTAAACATCAAGGTCATAACAAGGCTTGTTTGACATTCCCCAAAGCTGGTACAGATTTTGGCCATTTAAGCCAATTTCTGACTGCGTTAAGGTTAATTTCTTAAAATATAGTATAGGCAGGCTGAATCTTCATTGAAACACACCAGGCAAAAAATAATCCCTCCCGACCCTTTACAAGGCATGTTTTTGTCTACCATGAGGAGCTTTCTTAAGTATCATTTTGCCAAAGCTTTGTGCCATACATACTTTCATCCAAGACAAGGTTATGTTGAATTTGGAGGACTTCGCCTAAGGCTATCCAGCACAGTTTTTCCATTCGGTGCTGCTTTAAAATCTAGAAAGAACTTCCATTGCCATGATGTACAGCATGTCCTACTGTACTAAGAGGACGATAGTTTTGGTTTCATGTTTGACTTAGACTGAAAAACTAGTTTGCTTTGCTTACCATCGTTGCTGTTTCACAGGCATTTGATGCTTTAAATCTGTTGTTGGAATGCTGAAAGTTTCACTTGTTTATATTTCAGAAGTTGGAGAGAAATACTTCTTTGCTTATCTTATTTTCTCCATTTTGCCTTTGGAGTCAAAGATGTTCCTTTAAAAATGAGACACTACAGGGTTGCAAAAATTTGAAACAGTAAGAGCAAGTATTGTTTTGTAGCTTCTTTGATGGAACCGGTCAAACCTCTTACTTACAGAACTCTGCAGCTGGTGTGCTACAGGTTTGCATGTTATGGGGGTGTGAGGTTCTTGCAAATTCCCAAATGAAATACGTAGAAAGGCACAATGTACATTCAGCACTTTCCATTTTGTTGTTTTGATTTAATGACTGAATGATATTCTGAATTTTACACAATACTGAAGAAATTTTGTATTTGGAAGCACTGTGTGCATTTCAGCATCGAGAGAATATTTAACATTTTTAGTTTGGCACACATCCCCACCACCCTCCAACAGCTAATACGGTCTGCCTAGAAAGTAGGCACGTTTGCATGTGTAGAATGATCCATGGGCCATTTTAGATGGCTGCAAGCTGTTATGGGGAAGCCTTAGATTTGCTGGTCTCATTCATGAGGTGAGAAGTGTGGCATTTCAGTGTTAACGTTTACTTCGAAAGTTTACAACACTAGTACACAGGCTAAAAATGGCATACATTTAACATCGGCTTTTTGAGAGAAATATTAACAATTGTGAAATGAAATTAAACATGTTTACTTTTTCCTCACCAAAAAACCCATCAATAATGGAGGGGAACTTAACAAGCAACAATAAAAAAGGTAAAAACAACGTTTCGGTAGTCCTCTGGGAGTGAAAATAAAACTTCCACGTTCCTTTTGTTGGAGGAAAAAAACTGATTTGGTCCAAGAGTTTTAAAAGTTTTAGTATCTGCTTCGGCCTCCACCTCTATCAGAGCGACTCCCTCCTCGGCCACCACCTCTGGGTGCTCCACGGCTTGAGCTGCTGTATGAATCCCGCGGAGGGGGGTAACCCCTTTCCATGGAAGGGGGAAGGCCTCGGTCTTGTCTTCCAACCCGGTCACGGCCACTTGAGTAGACATCGCTTCTGCTGCTTGAGTAACTTTCTCGACTTCCACCATACCCATCTCGGGTGCTCCCGTAATCGTCATAGCGACTGCTTCCACCATAAGATGGCGGGGGCCCTCGTGCAGGTGGAGCACTACGTGAGTTACCTGCAGGTTCAATGGTCAGGTAATAGGGCAACACTATAAATCAAATCACCAAAATTTCACATCTGAGTTTAAAAGAATTGAATCAATGGCTTCTGTTACTCTTTTGCATTAACTGAGAAGATTAATATAATCTCTCACATGTTGGGACATTTGGCAGGGGAGTATCAGGCAGTGAACGAAATAAACAGACTGTTTGAAGACGCTGGTTTTTTCTGAAGGCAGCTCTTTTTTTTTAGGGTTATTCCAGAACAGCTTGCTATATTTACAGAAGAAACTCAGCCATTTTTTTTCCAGTGATAGATGCAATTGAGAACGGTTGAACTTTGCTTCTTTAGGTTATAGGAACTGTAATTTAATCATTTTGTTAAAATAACTGTTATACTTTTTCACGGTGGCGGGCAAGCCCAGCAAGCTAATTCCCCCAATTCAGTTATAAGCAGTCTAGCAAGACAAGTACTGTATGAGGCCTATTAAATTGGCTAAACCTCACAGAAGAAGCACTTACCATAACTCTCATAGGAATCTCTGTAAGACCCACCACTCGGATGATCCGAGTAGTCTCGGTCACGCCCTCCGTAGCCATCACGATCACTGTAAGAAGAATAACTGCTGGGATTTAATACCGGCGGTTGCTTGACATTTAATCTGCAAGCTCACTCTTTACAGGCAAATGAAAGATAAGCCACTCGGTAGTGGCAGTAGGCGACAACAACGTAGCCTAAGCACACGTAGGTAGAATAATTTACTGTAACATATTTACATCTGCTATTCTTACGTTGCCTTTCTATCTAAGTTCAGACTGTCAAGTCCCCTTTGTAAAACAACATATGCAGAAGCAGCACTATATAAATATACAGTAACAAAACTGCTCATCTTCCACAGGAGTGCTGGACCCCTGGCAAAGCTCAAAATTGGCATAAAATTGTTATGCCCCCCACAAATCATAACCACAAATGCTGATTTGATACAGTTGATTAACACATACAGAGAGAACTCTTCTCTCTTTTGGGGGTTCTCTTTCATGGCATTGACAATCCTTTCCATATTGGGGGTTCTCTTTCATGGCACTGACAATCCTTTCCATTAAATATCATGCGTAAAGGTTCTTGCGGATCTAGAGGCTGAATTAGTGATATGTTTAAACAGCATGCGTAATAAAACCTTAAAGGTTCTTACGGATCTAGAGGCTGAATTAGTGATATGTTTGGGAGCAAACAGACCACTTTGAGAGACCTTTCAGTGTCATGTCCCTGGTTCTGGGAAGCCAGGGACAGTATTTATTGAATATTTATTTATTTACTGGGGTGGGGGTGGGGAATGGTGTAAAACTAAAACCATGCTGCAGAGACATGCAGAATTCAAGAGAGAGATGCATAGTACTGCATTTATAACCTGCCCTTCTAATGAGCTAGAAGCAGGTGCATATAGTTCTTCCTCCCTGGGAGGGAAGTGAGGCTGAGTCAGTGTGATCACTCAATGCCAGTTCTTCCCTCTACTGAGGGCTGGGACATCTTAGTTGGTGATTTGGAAGCCCTTTTCCCACCATGATCAGCCACTTAAATTTGGTTTGTCTGACACGATTATCTCACTCCTTGGTTTTGGCAAGCTGCAGAGGCCAACTCAGCCATGGGACTGACGATGGGGTATTAAAAATGCTGCTTGAGATCACACAAAATTAAACACTAGATACCTGTAGCCTCTTGAGGGATACTCGTCACGTGAACTGGAATGGCCATAATCACGGTAGGCGTAATCTCTTGGGGGAGGAGCATAGTCTCGTGTGTCTCTGGAACTTGGATAGTCACGACTCGAGTAGCTGTGGAAGGTGGGAATATCTTTGGTAAGATACAGCAGCATAACAGGGAAGAACATCACACGAATATCACTTGAAAACATTCAAAAGTCTTACCTGTCTTTAGTACTGTACCCATCATCTCTGGGAGACAAGTAGACATCTCTTCGTGAAGGCAGTGGCTCTCTGCGTGGAGGCCCCCCGTAGCTGTCTCTGCCACGTGACAGGGGTGCTAAAGTCATGCATAAAACAAATTATTCTCAAAAAAAGGTACGAGTGAAGGTTCCCACATCAAGTTAAAGCGTTTATCAGGCTGACGCAGCTTATTTAGTAGTGGACTAGAATTAATGCTTCTACACCAGCAGAACTGAAGAGTAACAGTCCTCCAGGTCTTTCAAAAGTTACTCAAGACAGAGCTTTTTAAGGAAGCCTTCAGGGGTATCCTTCCCCTTTGCTGGGGTTTTCTTCTGAGCCTGTTTTATCGTTCACCTCAGCCGTTGCCACACGGCTTTCCCATTGCTGTATTATTATTTTTGTTGTGGTGTCTAAATTTAACTTAGTTTATGATTGGGGAGGTTTGTGTCTTTACACTGTTGTAAACTATCCAGAGCAATGGATAGATAAGGAGTACAGGAATAAAGTGAATGGATAAATAAATAAGTAAAGAGTTAAATACCATCAACCTGAAACCAACTTATGACTCAAATGGGGCAATGTGAAGTATTTAAGGAAAGCTTTCAACAGTTCCAACCTCTCCCCCAGTGAGTCTCCATGGTCAACAAGAATTCAAACCCAGCTCTTCTGGGTCCTAGTGCATCACTGTTTGCTACATTATACCAGACACATAAGCAAGTAGGATTAATGATCTTACCTCTCCCACCCATTCCGCTACTGCTACGCACAGGTCCTGAAGGTGCCGGTCTTTTAGGTGGTGGGCCCCCACTACGTGGAGGCGGACCCCTTTTCATTGGGAGAGGGCCTCTGGAAGAACCTAGAACAGTGACAGGGAATATGTCAGCAGGATAGCAACCTTAGTTTCAGTCACTGAAGGACACAAATCTTCTCTACCAGCTGGCACGGAAGAACCAAGTGGGAACCAATTTTTCAGATGGATCACCTTCACTGACAGCAGCCTGTACTGCTGTGATCTGGGGCTGCATTAGGTTTGATTCCCCTCTCTGCCTCGATGATCCATAGGGCCCCTTTCAGCTCTGCAGGTCTATTATTATTATTACTGCAGCTGTTGCTATTTAATGGTTTAAAGGCAACAAATAAGAGAAGGGATGGGAATTCTGGGAGCTATACGACAAAAACATCTCAGGGGGACCAAATACTGGAGAGGCATGAACTGCAACTTGTACCCCATACTGGATACCCTCACTAAATGGGCCACAGACTCAACACTGGCTGCCAGTTCATAAGTATTAGATAGGCAACTGTGAATTTTAAAAACACAAAACAGAATTGCTGATCAAACTTACTCTTTACTCATTTAACAGAGCAAATAATGGATCAAATTCTGGCAATTCAATATTCTAGTTATCTCTAGATACCAGTACAGTTCACCCAATCTACTATTATGCAGATATTTTGAAATGCTTGCCACAGAACTGCCTTTCTGTATATTAGGCCAATCACCCACTCTGCCTGTTCAGCACAAGGCTAATTCCAAAATCCACGAGTTCAGTACAAGGTTATACTGAAGCAAGTAGAAGCAAGCATCTCTTCCACATCAGAAAACTGGCATTCACAATGTACCACCCTTTTGACTTCTACTACATTGTTTGCAACACTGTGGTTTTCACAACATCCAACGAGGCAGCTATCTCTTATGATGTCGTGTTGCATGTGGGAATAGAAACATACCCAAATGATTCCCTCTTGAAGGAGGCCCTCGTGTTCCACTTCCGCCTCTTCCTCCTCTAAGACCTCTTGGGGGACCTCTGCTCCTTGGAGGGAGCGGGGGCCCACGTCTACCAGTTTCAAAGGATGGCTTGGTAGCTTGTTCAACTTTAATGGCTTTTCCGTCTAAAGACTGAATAAAGGAAGCTAATTTCAGTGTGCATGGAAATTGCTTGTTGATTCCCCCATACCTAATTCTCTGTCTCTTTGTGTCAATTATACTGCATATTATGAAGGGTTAAATTAAGTGCTTTGGATTTGAATAATTTCAAAGGGACATCATCTCTTCTTTCTGCCACCCTCTGTGAAACATACAGATCCTCATTTTTTGGATCTCTTTACTAGATTCTCAGGCCAAGCGAAAAGTAACAGTTCAATTAACTTAGTCTGAGACTGGTCATAGCTAACTTCCCAATCTGATACATTAGAAATTAAAATTTGAGGCCTTTCAACAGGATTACAGGGTGGTGGTGGCAGAAGATAAAATTGGGATCTACTGGATTATCTGAAGTAATCAGCTTGGATTTGTGACTCTCAATTGTTCAATTATTTCAACAATAAAATGATCTTGGAATGCGTTTTCCTTACATAAAGGTTTGTGTGTGGGGCATGAATGTGAAAAGTTTTATCACTACACAGAAAACAAAAATAACTGTGTAACTCTAAATACAGTATACACCTTTTAGACTTGTTTTAAGTGGACTACCCCATGCATACAACTCAGAATACCTGTACAGTAGTGCCTCGCATAGCGACGTTAGTCGGTGCAGCAAAAATCGGTGCTAAGCGATTTCATCGCTATGCGATTTTAAAAAGCCCATAGGAATGCATTGAAACCCCTTCCATGCGTACCTATGGGCTTAAAACTGACCTTTAAGCGAGGAATCCATCCCTAAACACACCGGGCGGCCATTTATTTTTACCTGGTGGTCATTTTGGAACTGCCGATCAGCTGGGGGAAAATCATCGCTTTGCAATAATCGGTAAGCAAAAAAGGGAACCGATCATCACAAAGCCAAAAAACCCCATTCAGACCATCGCAAAGCGATCGCAAAATCTTCATCGCTATGCGATTTCGTTGTTAAATGGGGCGCCTGTTAAGCGAGGCACCACTGTATAACATTTAATGCCTGCCATTTACTAAAAGCTACAGCATTTTATGGTTGTTGTTCTAATGGACACCAAGCAGCAGTAGTACTGGGCTACTGCAAAGCATTTATGTGCCCTTGAACTCTTAAAAACAATACAATGTACCGTATTTTTCGCTCTATAAGACGCACCTTTCCATAAGACCGAACTCTTAAAAACAATACAATGTATTTGCTTAGTTTTTTCCCCCATGTTTATCTCTTTAGATACAAATTAAAAAACAATACAATGTACCGTATTTTTCGCTCTATAAGACGCACCTTTCCATAAGACGCACCGATTTTTTAGGAGAAGAAAACAAGAAAATATAATCTGTTTTCTTCGCTCCATAAGATGCACAGACTTTCCACCCCCCTGTTTTGTGGGAAAAAAGTGAGTCTTATGGTGCAAAAAATACAGTATTTGCTTAGTTTTTTTCCCCATGTTTATCTCTTTAGATACAAATTATTTTTGTTCTTGCATTCACAAAGTGTGCGCCAAACCAATTTTTCTAGGCACACATCTGGTTGTTTTATTATGGAATTAAGCAGCACTTGTTACAACATTTTCAACAACTAAGTGATAAAAGTCATTATAAGCAAGATGGAATGCATAAGTTCTGTATATTTCAACTACTCTTTACATATAAAGTTTTATTGTTAGTTCAAGAGTTGCTTCAAAATTATCAGTCTTATCACCTGAGGGAAATATGGTGTCTCCAGGCCTGGATAATTTTAATTCAAGACTTATTTTGGAGACAGGTTAAGATTCCCAGAGATTAGTCAAGAACCCACCCTTTCCCAATGTATCATCAAGCTTTCCTTACTGACTTATTGAAACAAAAGTGGGACAGACACTTAGGCCATTTGTGTGTTGTTACCCAATATGAAAATTCCTACCTTTCCATTCATATCCCTCGCAGCATCCTTGGCATCTGCCGGGCTCTCAAAGGTGACAAAAGCAAAGCCCCTTGACTTGTTGGTTTCACGATCTTTCATAAGGAGAACTAGAAAGAGACCAGTGGGTCAGGATCCCTGCTCATGACCATACAGGGGCACACCCCCACCCAGATTAACACAAATCTGCTCAGAACTTCTTAGAGGACATTAAAGCTTTATCACCAGTCAGTCAAAACTGTTAAGTTCATCACAGCAGAACTATAACTTGATATCCCCCTCCGCTATCCCAAATGCTCTGCATTTACCTTCCACGATGCGGCCATATTTGCCAAAAACAGCTTCGAGAGCCTTCTCATTTGTCTCTGTATTCAGTCCACCAATGAAGAGCTTCCCAGGACGATCTGCTTCAACCATTTTGACACTGACTGGGATCTAAAAGAAAACAAATCCAAATCTGAACCCCTCAAGAAAGGTTTCTATACTGGCAATGCTGAACTTGGTCATGGCTTCTATAATCTGATACTTAAACCTTGACAGCAGCAGCTTGCTGATACCTATCGAAGAGTGATATGGCTTTGACTTTCCCCTTAAATACAGTGGTGCCTCGCTAGATAGTTACCCCGCATGACAGTTTTTTCACTAGACATTGGCTTTTTGCGATCGCTATAGCAATTCGCAAAACAGTGATTCCTATGGGGGAATTTCACTGGACAATGTTTGGTCCCTGCTTCGCAAACCAATTTTCGCTAGACGACGATTTTGACAGCTCCCTCCATGCCCGCAAACAGGTGTTTTTGGGACCTAAGCTTTGCAAGACAGCAATTTAAACAGCTGATTGGTGATTTTCCTATGGCCAATTTTTGCTAGACACGACGATTCTTCCCCATTGGAACGCATTAAACAGGTTTCAATGCATTCCAATGGGGAAATGCTTTTCACTAGATGATTTCACTAAACAGCGATTTCAGTGGAATGGATTATCATCGTCTAGCAAGGCACCACTGTACAGTTTCACCTGTTAACAGGCTGGCTATCACGGAATTTATTAATCAGTAACTGTTTTCTTACTCCACCAAAACAGAAGTACTCTAGGAGCCCAAACTTGTCCCAATAACTCAGCCACGAAAACCAACACCCCTCAACCGTGTAAGCAAGTGTTTCAATAGAAATAGCTTCAGTTGCTTAAAATACCTTCTCGCTGAACAGTAATAGAAGTAATTTTAAATATTTAATCTCCTCCTAGTTTAAGAACAAAGAAATGGCAATGCTGGTCCAGACCAAACATGAATCTAGTGAACAGTGGCTAATCAGACAGCTGGGAAAAACCACAAGCAAGACTTAACAGTATGCTCTGTCTCATCTGCTCAAGCAATTAAGCCTGATCAGCATACACAGCCATCCTGAATGGTGAAACTAGTTGCTCTAACATCCATGTATTCACTCAATCCTGCTTTACGGCCATCCAAGCTGGCAGCCATCATTATATCTTGTTCCACATAGATTATGAACCTCGTGAAGAAGTACTTTATCTGTCCTGAATCTTCTGTCACTCATAAGCAGTGGATGAATGACTTCAGCTCCTCATCAGTTTGGGAAAAGACAAAGGGGAAAAAACCCAAACAAAACAAAACACCAACCCACAAAAAACCCTATTCCCTTTTTTCCATGAGCCACTTTTTTTGTCAGCCGTAATAATTTTAAAGAGGGGAGCTCCTCCAGTTCCTCGAACACTTTATCACCATTTTAACACCTTGTTCAGCTCTGTACCATTTTGAAGGCACAGCAGCCAGAACTGTTCACTGGATTCTGGATGAAACTAATTAATCAGTTTGTATAGAAGTATAAATACTAATAAAATTGAGTTTCCAGTTTATTTCTGGCTATATAGATAGATCTACCTCCCAGACCTTATACAAATAGTTTTCCAGAAAAATGTTTGACCTTATTTAGCAGCTAAGGCTGCAAAAACAGCAGAAGTACACAGACTGAAGGCAATTCATTTATTGGATTACAATATGCATCATAAATACAAACTAGCTTTCCATCTCCCAAAGGCACCACAGAAATGAAGGCAGTACAGAAGAAACAGCAAAGTTATAGAAATAATGGCCTGTTCTTTGGGCCAAATTCCCTGATTAAAGCAAGTTTCAAATTGGGGACTGCACACTCAAGAACAGAAATTACAGGTTTCAGATTTCCCCTCTGATGGCATGAATTGAGATCTGGTTAGATAAAGGGTTCCCACAGTCAGTCACCATCATCCTCCCTTAAGAACTGAGATATGTACTTTGGATTATGTACAAAGCCTAGTTTCTTCTTTTTAGCCGGAATAAAGTTCATAGTGACCCAATTCTTCCCCTTGGTTATTCTTAAACAGCAAGTTGCACCAAGTTCAGAGAAATAGACACACAAGAGAAAAACAGAAAATAATATGAGATGGGAAAATAGACAAACTAGTACAGGTAAAAAGCTATAATATATTGCACAGACTAACACAGCTACCTTTTCTACAAAGACAAAGCACTGTAGACTGGAGTTACTTCATTGTCAGCTTTCATGAATGAAAACCCACTTTTTCATAGGCAGGGAGCACAATGGATTTTGACCCATTAAAAGTTCACAATGAATCAAATCTGTTAGACCACAATACATCCAGACCAGATGGGTGGGATATAAAGCAAACAAATAAATAAATAATAAATAGAGTCACATCAACACAATTACTTATGGAAATTAAAGACGTTAGCATTTTTTTCCTTTCAGGGTCTTGCAGTCCATAAATTACACAAAGCAAATTTTTATACTGCACTCAATCAAGTTCATTTCTAAAGAGCGGTTCTGTGGGTGGGTTTTATTTATTTTTTTGCAGCCCCTTGCTAAACCTTTGAGGCCCTTTTCCTATGGCTTCCCTCCAGTTAATATCTGATTATTTCCTCTCTCTTTTGTGGTTTATTTTTCATTTTTTTTTCTTTTCCATCTTGAAGAATTGGCTATTTAATGCAATAATTCTTTTTTATATTTATTGTTGTATTATGTGTCTGTGAGCCGCCTAGAGTGGTCGCAAGACCAGATAGGCGGGATATAATAAACAAACAAACAAAAAGAACAGGACCCATACGAGTGCAACCAGAAGAACGAGAGGGATCCAAGCAGGAATGACTTTGTCCTCATTTCCTTGAAGAAATGCTCTCTGCAAGCTAACGTTTCCCTCTCTCCTTTCCCTGTATTTTCCATTCAAGGCGAGAGGAGGGAATCCAAACCCTTCCAAGGAAAGTAGGACGAAACAGATCTCGCTCCGTTCACAAAAGCGCGGGCCCGACAAACGGGAGCATTCTCAGCCCACGAAGAGGGTGTTGGTAGAGAAAGCCTGGCCCCAGGCGCATGCGCACCTCAAAAGGCGGCGCCTGGGAGAAAAAAAAAGCCGGCGGTGGGAGCGCAGGCTGGACGCGAGGCTAAGGAGAAAGAACGGCGCATGCGCATGGGGCACCTATCCCCCCCCCACCAGACCCCCTCGCGCCTCACGGCAGGCACAAAATGGCGGCCCTCCTTCGCCTTCCCGCCCACTCGCCTCCCTCCCTGGCTTCGTTCATGGGGGAGAAGCCCCCCCCACTTTCAGCAGGCCTGAGGCAGGCAGGCACCCTCCCCCTTTCCCGCCTTTTCCAACCGTAACGCTATTTATCCCGCCCCTCCCCCCTCTCCTCAGCCGCTTAAAATGGCATCTCGACACCTTATCCCTCCCCGCTTCTGTGGCGAGAATAAAGGCAAACCCATGAAGCGCCTTGAGGGAGGAAAAATGTAATTTAAATTTTGTTTTTAAAAAATTTAAGAATATATCACTCGGGGAAGGGCTGGGCGTGAACAGAAAAAGGCCATTCCAATTCTAAAGAAAAAAAAAAGGCTTCCCAGTCGCCTCCCGCCCGGCACGACCCGCACTTACCCACCGGCAGAACAGCAACGACGCACTGAGGAGGAACAAAGGGGCCGGGGGCCGTTTATATAGGCGTGACGTCAGCGCGTTCGAACGGGGCGCCGAAGGCCCGGATGGGAACGTGAAAAAAAAAAGGCGAAGCGTGTTGGAGGGGGAGGGGCGCTTTGGGGAGGGAAAAAAAATAAAAGGGAAGGAGGGCGTGCAGAACTCCGGTCTTCGCTGGGATGTAAACGAGGCGTGCAATCTTGGGAAGGGAAAAATCGATTTTAAAAAATGTATATATTTTTATGGTGTTTGCATGCCCCACTTTTGAAGTTGAGGAAGTTCTCGGTGCCGTTTTTTGTAAGGTCAGCAGCCTCTCCTTGAAACCCTTCAGTCTGTCCTGCAAGGTTTGCAGGTGGAAATCTTGCTTAGTATTTGCACCCACCTCCTTGTTCGTTTTTTCTCCTGTCCTCTCAAGGACTTTATCACTCCATACTAAACCAAGATAAGAGGCCCTATTTGGATGCAGGAAGAGTCATAGCATCCCTAATCTGTTGAATTTCTGTCCCACTTCCCGTCCCATGTATTTTTCAGTGGTGGTTTAAGGTCAGCGGCATGTCAGCATGTGACTAATAAAGACACTAGGCAATGCTGATGTTTATCATGAAATAATATTTATTTGTAGTGTTTTCTGGTCCTGCGGCAGCTTCTGCAATATCACTTGATGCAGCAATAGCAAATAAAAATGGAAACATTTGCAGTAGAGTTGAAATGATATGCAGTATACTGTATATCCATTGCATTTGAACCCCCATCCTCCAGCGAATAAATCTAGAGCAATTTGCATAAAATCACTAAGGACATATCTGTGTGGTTCTGGTCTCTGGATGATGGCTTCCCTGTGGGGTCTGTGTTCAGGTGGTCCAGAATTCCTCTTCCGGCAAGTTGACATTTTTGCAAAGTCACTTGACTTTTGGATCTCAGGAAGCAAATTGGTAATTGTTTTAGATTGGTGGCCAGAGATTTTGGCAAAATGTTTGTTGCCAAAATTGGTATGGGGTTGAGGATGACCTGATCCTGCTTCCATATTCTTTTGATTTCTTACTTGAATGTTTGGTGCTTCACAACTTTCCCCCCCTGTACAGTACTATTGGGTTGCTTGTGATTTCTTACCTGAATGTTTGGTGCTTCACAACTTTGTCCCCCTGTACAGTACTATTGGGTTGCTTGTTGATAGAACTCCCACTTCTGTAAAGTCTGTTTCACTTTGTGGCTTACCCACAAGTGTAACATCCAGCTTATTAAAATCATTTATCTATGATAAATTGCTAGTCCCTGTGCTGTCCTGCAGTATTGTTTTCTAAAATTGGAGGTGGCTGGAATTTATAATAGGGATGAAAAGATGTGAGTATTCCATAAGATATCGCCAGCGGCTGAAAAACGATGTTTTCAACTGAGATGAAAAGATGAGAGTATTCCATAAGATATTGCCAGCGGCTGAAAAACGATGTTTTCAACTTGGTTATGCCAAGACATGTAATCTGTTGATGCTAGTCTGTGGGCATCCAGCTATGACAGGATGACTTGTTTCCTTAGATTAGTGATAGGCTCTCTATATGTCTGTCACTCATCCCTTGCTTCATAACTCTATTCTGAAAATATCTGGTGCAAATGACTTGGTCCTAGATTGCACAGCCACAGAGTCTAACAGATACAGTGGACCCTTGACTTACAGATGGCTCGACTTACAGACTTTTCGAGTTACAGACTTCTCTGGCTACAAAATTTAGGTTTGACTTGCAGCCAGAGACTTGACCTACAGGCCAGAAAAAAACCAAAATGGTCAGCTGGAGACTTGACCTACAGACCAGAAAAAAACCAAAATGGAACAAAAATGGAACAGAAACGGCTGGCTATGGATAAATCGGTTTTCAATGCATTGTAGGTCAATGGAGACTCGACCTACAGACTTTTCGACCTGCAGCTACCGTTCCAAATATGGATTAATTCCGTAAGTAGAGGGTCCACTGTATCAGTTTGTATTGTATCCTTGTTTGGCAGGGAGCCCTGGAACTTGAGATGAGCTTCTAAAAGAGCCACAGCTAAGGAAAGGTTGAGAATAGCTGCTTCAGAGATGGTATTTTTTTACAGGAAGAGTCAGATTTTCCAATTTAAATAATCAAGATCACTGTACTTCTTGTGCACAATTCAAATAATAATAATAATGGATTTGCCCAGTTAATAATAGCTGTAATTCTTCCTTTTGTATCTAGTTCTGCTCTGAGTACCATCTTGTACTTGTTTCTGAACAACTATTCAAATTCTTCATGGCTTAGGTTGAGATTTCTGGGATGCTGAGATGTTTATAGGTGTTCTGCTCTGCTCAGAGTTGAATAAACTATCCATGTGTGAGCTCCCAGTTATTTCCTTCTGACAATTTGCTTCTTTTCATGTGGCACATTTAAATATTAAGATAATTTAACTAAAATATCTGAGGAATTTAAAAGTCCACCTAAAGAAGAGATTTGGTTGCTAAAATCAACTGATGGTGGACCAGAAGAAGAGAGGATTAAAATCAGAGACATTATTAGGGAAGAATGCAAAAACAAAAAAACTCTAGCCCTGTAGGAGCAAGAAAAAAAAGCTTATATGGACGACAGAAGAAACACTTTAACTTGTTAATGGCAGCCAAGAAGTAAAAGTTGTCAAACCTGAACACAGGTTTTCAGCAACTATTACAGAGCAGCAAAGAGAACCATTGCAATGGCCAGTGAAAAGAAATACTGTACTGCAGAAGAGAACAACAAAAGAAGAAAAATGATATCTCTTCTATAAGATCCAAGAAGTCAAAGGGAAATGTAAACCTAGATTACATTTCCTCCCTTCCCTGGCGGCTCAGGAGGGGGCGGGGCCCCGCCGCCCTTCTCCAAGATGGCGCCGCGGGCGTCGCCGCGCCCGGGTCACGTGTCGAGAGGGGGCGGTGGTGGCGGCGGCTGAGGCCCGTCAAGCGAGTTAGGCCGCGGCCGCCTCCGCCGGGCGATTGTGACGACGAGGAGGAGGAAGAGGAGGAAGGAGAAGGAGGAAGGAGAGGAGCGGCGGCGGCTTCGTTTTTTGAGGCGCCTTGTGGAGGGCGGGAAGGGAGAGGGAGGCAGGCGAGGCTCCGGCTGAGGAGGGAGAGGGTGAGGGAGGCAGGCCGGTCCCAGGATGAGAGTCGCGTTGCCTCAGCCGCCGCCGGCTTTCCTGGCGGTGTTGGTGGCGTGGCTGGCCCTGAGGGGCCCGTCGGCCCTTTGCGGGGCCTTCTACCTGCCGGGCTTGGCCCCCGTCACCTTCTGCGAGCCCCCGCCGCCTCAGCTGGAAGGCAGCGCCGGCTGCAAGGTGGGTCCCGCTCTGTGTGTGTGTGTGTTTTGTCCTCAGGCGGCCAGGAAGTGGGGGGCGGCCTCGAGGTGACCCCCCGCTCTAATGTCTGAAAATAGGTACCCCTGTCCATGATTTTCAGACACTAAAGCCTTCCTTATCCCATCCTGAGTCCCTCGCCTTCTGCCCGGCTTCCCCGTGTCGAAAAGTATGCCTCAGAACTTGAAGGAGGAACCTTTCCCACAAGATAATAATTCTTCTTTCTCTCTCTTCTCTCCCCCCCTCAAAAAAAAATCCCTCCCTGCTTAAAACGGAAACAGCTTTTCACAATCTCTCTCTCCAATTCTTTAATTTTTTTTTCCTAGTGAAAACCTGAGGGATTTCTTCTCTTTTTCCTCTGCCTCCCAACTTCCTGCTATAGATTTCGGGGCTCGTTTAAAAGGTGGGGGCCCTAATTAAAAAAGAGAAGGTCAAAAATGCAGGTTGTTAGTGGTGGGTCCTTTTGAGGCAGCCTTGAAATAGGGCCAGAAGTCTCCCCTTCAAATGTCATCATCCTAATGCTTCATATGCCCCCCCCATAAAATCTCTTGCCAAACTATGTATATTGAGTAGGGTGCACCTTGCTCTCTGGTTTTCTTTCCTTTGCATCCTCTTTTTTTCCTTTGCATCCTCCTTTTTTCATGGAGAAAGTTTTCTCCTCTTTCCATAAATCTGTATTTCACGATCTTCTAAAAAGAGAGAGAGAGGGAAGCTTAAAAAAGAGAAGGTCAAAAATGCAGGTTGTTAGTGGTGGGTCCTTTTGAGGCAGCCTTGAAATAGGGCCAGAAGTCTCCCCTTCAAATGTCATCATCCTAATGCTTCATATGCCCCCCCCATAAAATCTCTTGCCAAACTATGTATATTGAGTAGGGTGCACCTTGCTCTCTGGTTTTCTTTCCTTTGCATCCTCTTTTTTCCATGGAGGAAGTTCCCTCCTCTTTCCATAAATCTGTATTTCATGATCTTCTAAAAAGAGAGAGAGAGGGAAGCGGGTGTAAAAAATCCACGTTTTCCTCTTTAGGAACACCCCAGATCTCTGTAGGGTGGCACAATCCCTCTTAGATCTTTTCTTTCTCTGCGATCCTGATCCGGGACCTATAAATTTGTCCTTTTCTCTTCCCCCTTCTGTCCCCGTAAAAAAAAATGCAGCCGCTCTTGTTCGAATTCGTAAGAGGCCGAGCAAAGAAGCAGGAAGTTCCTGGTTAAAAAATCTCACTTTTTGCAGCTGCATGGCTGGATCAAGGACAGTTTTCTCTCTGCCTTTTAATCTGCAAGATGAGAAGTCGTGCAATTGGTTTACGTGTATGATATATCAGTTCCGGTTGATCTAATCCAGAGTGATTTGAGCACTTCTAAACACTACTCCAGGAGTAGCCAAACTTTTTGCTACCTAGCTTTCTTCTTGATTTGTGAGACACTCTTGTCTTCACCATCATCTCATCCCTTTGTAACAAAACATTTGCTGTATGCCTTAACATTAGAAATAAACACAAATGCTTAGTATTTTTTTTAATTAAACACAATTTCCCCCTTGTCAGAAGAATTGGCAAAACAAAATACTTAATGGAAAGGGTAATTAAAATCTTACAGTCTTATTCATCCCTGGAATTTCTTTTCCTAAGTTGGGGACACCATCCGGTGTTTGGAAATAAAAACTGTAATAAAAATGCTAATTAGGACAGGTAATGCAGTATAATGAATACACAAAATCATTGATTATGTTTTAGAACTGTTTCCTCTTTTTGATTATGTTTTTATTTTTCTAAAAATCAACCTTTTGGAGAGCTTAGATAGGCAGTATAGGAAACAGTAAACAGTGTAAATAATGTACAGTACTTACAGCTTTTCCCATTGTGTCCTTCCCATTCATTGTAAAGCACATTTCAACCCATGTGCAATCCTATCCAATTCTGTATTGCAGAAAGCATGTTTCCTGATTGTTGTAAAATTTTTCGGCGTAGTGTGTATGTTTACTCAGACGTTGGTCCTGCCTGTTTTTGGTATTCAGTAAATGGTCTGCTATATGTACCCAAGCTTTTCAAAACAGTCTTTAAGTTCCTTCTCTGCAAGAAGAAAGGCTGTATTTGATGAAACTTTTACAAGAGCAGTTCAGCTGGAGTGTTGGGGAGAAGACTTCCTGAAATCTTTTTTCAAGTTTTGTCCTCTTAATTTTTCCACGGATACTCCTTGCTTGATGTTCACAGTGAAATATAGTTGTTTTGCTTCTGAATGATGTCCACAGTGAAATATAGTTGTTTTGCTTCTGAGAAATGTTGCTTCTAGATGAAAGATGATGAGGTTGAGTAGACAGACTAATGCTTAATGGAGGGCTTTTAGCAGTGATAAAAGAAATGTGTTTCTTGATTTTGATTATGATTTGTGCGATCTCCTATTTTTTTAACATGGCTCAATAGGGTCAACAAATGTTGGAAATTAAAGAACAGGAGCTTAAGCTTAATGGTAGAACTAATGCTGTAGATCTTTCTGAAGAAAAATCCACTCCTGGTTTTCAGTGGCCTTGTTTAAGGATAGTGTGAGGAAAAGTTGTTATGGCTGAAGATAGTAGGAGAAGAAGGATGGATGTGAAATGGATTGATTTGATAGAAGAAGCCCTGGCCTTGGACCTAAAAAAGCCGAGCAATGCTGTTAATGATAGAATTCTTTGGGGGTCATTAATTTCATATGATCACCCTAAATGATGATTTGATGACACGTAACAAATTGCTACAGTTTTTCAATGTAATGTGCAAGGGTCAGAGGTCCGTTGCTGGCTTATTTTAAATCAGCAAGAGGTTTAGAGTATATCATCCCAGTTCTAAGGTACAGTTTGCTGAGTTTCTACTTTATATGTGCAAGCTCAGATTGACTAGGCAGTTGAGTATGTAATAGTTTTTAATTTAAATTGCTGTTGAGTAGCTAGTGGAGTAGGACAGGTTGCCTGCTTTCGTTATATCTTACATTGAAGAGTTATAGGCCCTCGGTCCTATAAAACAAGCACGTTCTGCTCCAAAAGGAAGTCATAAAATATGGACTGTAAATGTGGAGCCACAATGAATTAAGTATACTGACCGTGTTCACTGAAAATATGACTCATTGATTCGGTGAGAGTGGCTTCTAGGGCAGCAATTCAACTTATGAATTTCCAACTACATGTTTTTTGGGACAGGTCAAACCAAATGTGTGTGTTTGTTAAGACTGAGTACGTCTACTTAGGAACTATTGGTTGAGTAACATTTGTACAATCTTTAACTTTGAAATTTTTTATTATATTTCTTCCATGCATAAAGAATAATTTATCTCATATGGATTTATTCAGTTCAGAGTGTCTAAACAATTTCTCTTTTTCCCACCTCCTAGTCACAAATTGAATTGTTTGTCAACAGACTGGACTCAGTTGAATCAGTTCTGCCGTATGAATATGATGCGTAAGTGTATTCTGATACCCTGAAATTGTTTTTTGATTCTGTGAAGTCATTTTCACATTTTCCCCCTGTTAAAGTAATTATTTAACAAAAGCAATGGCTGATTTGAGTAGTTTAAGAATACTTCCACGATGTGGTACTCATGGATAAAAGAGATGAAGCAGAAATAACTTTGGGATGATTCAGATGGCTAGCTGATGCTTTTAGAAGAACCATGGTTTGTATGATTTGGCTCTGCATGATTTGGCCTTCCATTTGAACAAGGATGTTACCCCACCCACCCAAGTGCACTGTTTGAGGCAGAGATTGTTAGACAGGACAGGTGAAAATGGGGAACATACACATAATGATTTTCTCTTCTAATGCTAGCTGTGTTTTTGATGGAAAATACCTTATTTGTTTGTTCATAGTTTTGACTTTTGCCAAGATGCCACAGAAAAACGACCTTCGGAAAACCTTGGACAAGTGCTGTTTGGAGAGAGAATAGCCTCATCACCGTACAAGGTTATTGCAGCCTTCTAAATGCTATTTTATATGTCTTGATTTGTGTGGTTAAATCATGTTCAGGCTTGCCTTCAGTCCCTTACATACAGTTCCTTTTCAGAGTTTTGTTACAGATGTTGAATGTGTACTGGGATCATTCATGTTCAAGGTTATGAAATACTGGGCAGTAAAAATTCATCTTAGGCTCTGGACCTTTTGCAAACACGAGTGCTTAATGCTCTGATAATAGTTATTCAGCAGTAGGCTTATAGCGTATGCACTAAACTGCATGAAATACTGATTAGAAATAATGAGCCACCGTTTTCTAATGTCCCAGTCATGTAGTTGTGTGGTTCAGGTAAAAAGTTTCAGGAAACACCCCTGGAATAAAGAAAAATAATGGTGCTATGTATATTACTCTAGAACCATTTTTTCTCTTCGGGAAATTTCCAGGCCATTTTCATCATCACTGCTGGAAAGAGAATGGTGGAATAGTTTGATTCTCATGCAGGCTTATAAAAAATAATGGGCATGTTTTCTAGTTACTTCCTTCCTTTGGTCTTGTACATTTATAGCCATTCAGGTTACCTGTTCTGAAGGTCTAGAAGCCCTTTCTGGAAAATGCAGCTTAAGATTCTCTGAATTATAGAAGGAGTTTGTGTGCACAGAAGTCCTGTGTGTTTGTATGATCACCACCTGTCATTTGTGGCACTGAACACAGAGGGAGTTTGTGTGCACAGAAGTCCTGTGTGATTGTATGATCACTGTTACATAACAGCACTGATGTTACTGTGTGTGTGTATGTTAGAAAATGAGGAAGAAAGATGTCTTTATGTGATCACTGAACAGAAAATAAGAGTATACAGAATTTACAGGCATTTAGATGTTCAGTGCAGTTTTTGCTTTAAATTCCTCTTTGTTTGCTGGGATGAGCGTTACTATAAAGATACAATCAGTTAAATTTTTGTTTAAAAAACACTTCTGTTTTTATTCCAGTTTACATTTAACAAAGAAGAAAAATGCAAGGCAGTCTGTATGAAATCCTACGACCCAGCAAAAGCAGAAGACAAAAATCGGCTGGATTTTTTGAAGAAAGGAATGCAGTTGAATTACCAGCATCACTGGTGAGTGGGCATGTTCTTGAACTAAAATCAGTGTTCTGTAGAGGGAGGCCGAAAATGAGCAATCTAGATTATTCTAAAAACAGACATAAACTGAGAGAAAAGTTAAAGAGTTCAGAGGAATGCAAAGATACCCACATTGTAATGTGTTTGTAAACTGTATGGTAAAAACAGATGTGTTTAAAAGTTCTGGATCTGCTCAACTTTCCTTACTCAGGATTATAGATAATATGCCTGTTACTTGGTGTTACGATGTGGAAGACGGACAAAAATTCTGCAACCCAGGATTTCCAATTGGATGCTTTGTTGCTTCAGATGGCCGAGCCAAAGATGCCTGCATTATCAGTGTAAGTGATGCAAATTCATTCGTCTTATGTATAAAATCCTTATGAGCAAGACTTTAGGAGATTGTGTGTTCAGTATTGATCTGATTCCTGAGATGGGTCAGATATAACATTTTTCACATGGCTGTGTGTCTGAACCGATAGTGCCCTGTGGATGTCAGTATATGAGTAATTGAAGCCATGCCTTGTATTGTGTTTTGCAGAACTTGGGCAAACTGCAATTTGGCATCATACTAGAATAATACACTGGCCAGTATGGGATCAGGGGAAGCCTGTAATTGACAGAAATCCCCACTAGATCACCATTGTGGTCATTTTTGATGATTAAGGGCTCCCTCCTCCCTGGTCCTGAGGCTTCCAAAGGCTTTCCCAGGGCGAAGCCCTAGAGAGTCTCTGAACCTGGAAGGGGGCAGGGATAGGAAGCTTTAATTATGTTGACATTAATTATTTCTGGTACCCACATCTGGGTTGTAACAGCATAACTTATGCCAGCAGGATTTTGCCCTCTGTATTTTTGGGATGTTGCTGTGCCTTTGGAGGCTGATGTTTTATACTGCAACTGGAAATTTTCAGGGGATGTGTGGCAGGGAGGGAATGGCCCAAACCACATTGCTGGTAAATTTTGGAACCCAAGTTTGGAGGCTGAACTGCAACTCAACTTTATGTTTGTTCCAGTCTGCATTTAAAGTTCCAGCTGAACAAGTCAGGAAAGAATGAGTTGAGAGTGGAGGGAAGAATAGAATGGCCACCCGTGCAAATTATATTAAACTGTATGTGAGCAGAAGTGAGCTACAAACTGTGAGCTGTGATCCACCTCCCTTTCTTGCATCCCATGTGGAGAAAGGAGTCTGAAGTTTTGACATCTGCTTTCGCTTAACCACGTTTGCCATTTCTTTCTGTGCAGTTAAACTGTGGTTAGTGGTAACTGGGAACACTGGCTGGATAGCTCAGTGACGTAGTCATGTGGCTGTGGAGCCACAAGTGGGGAGTTCGATTCCCCTACAGGGCCTCCTGAGAGAAGAACTAGCCTGCGTGGCCTTGGGCCAGCTGAACAGTCCCAAGGCATCCATGGCAGAAGGGAAGGTTAAAGCACACCTCTGAGTATTTCCGACCTAGAAAACACTGGAACGGTTCACCGTAAGCCAGAATTGACTTGTTGCTATAGCACACTTCTCTGAGTATTCCCGACCTAGAAAACCCCAGAATTGACTTGTTGCTATAGCACACTTCTGAGAGTAATTTATCCTTCATTGACTCAGACAAATATAAATCATGAATGGTTGTTATAGGTTTTCCGGCCTGTTTGGCCGTGTTCTTAAGGTTCTCCCTAATGTTTCTCCACTGTCTGTGGCTGGCCTCTTCAGAGGACAGGAGTCAGAACCAGAGCACAGACAGAGCTTCTGACTCCTGTCCTCTGAAGATGTTTTGCCACAGAAACTGGCGAAACGTTAGGAAGAAAAACCTTCAGAGCACGGCCAAACAGCCCGAAAAACCTACAACCACCATCGGATCCCGGCAGTGAAAGCGTTGGAGAATAAATAGTGAATGTTGGTAACTTTGTTTCTTGAGAGTACACTTGTCCTGAGAAACACAAAGTAGTCTCTATCCAGCTTGTCCAAACAGTTTACACAATTTGTATCTTGTGGAGACCATTTGTAACATTTCAGTTGACTTCAGTGTATCTCAATTACGGTCTGTTTTATTACATTTTATTTTAAACACAACACCATGGTGTCTATCTGTACCACATTTCTGTTACGAAAAAGGAGAGGCATTCAGTAGTAACTTCATATTTTTCAGTCCGAGTTCAACAAGAAGAATACTTTCTATCTCTTCAACCACGTCGACATTACAATCTCGTACCACAGCGGAAAGGATGAGAACTGGCCCGGAGCTCGGCTCGTCACAGCTCGGCTGGAGCCCAAAAGGTAAATCTGAGCCTTGGCCTTTTACGACTGCCTCCCTTTGCAGGAGGGAAACAGTTTGGGCTGAATCAGCTTCGAGGGTCTGCTTTGTTCTGCAGGCGTGGGCTGAAAACAAGGAAGTGGTAGAAATAGAGCTGTGGTTTTCGTAGGTCCCAGGGGTAGAGTCTGAAAAAGTTCACTTGTCGACCGTAATTCTCAGAATGCCATCATGCTCGCTTGTTCAGAATTGTGGCATCTCCAATTAAGGAAGGCGCTCTCTCTCTCTCTCTTTTGAAACGAAACCGTGTTGCTTATATACTGCCCTATAGCACTTTAGACACTCTTTGGGTGGTTTACAGTTTAATGATGCAGGCTATACATTGCCCATCCCCAGCAAACTGGATACTCAGGTTACCGACCTTGGAAGGCTGAGTGAACCTGTGAACCTCAAGCCGGCTACCTGGGATAGAACCCAGGTCTACTCTTTGGGTGGTTTGCAGTTTAATGATGCAGGCTATACATTGCCCATCCCCAGCAAACTGGATACTCAGGTTACCGACCTTGGAAGGCTGAGTGAACCTGTGAACCTCAAGCCGGCTACCTGGGATAGAACCCAGGTCGCGAGCAGAGCTTTGGCTGCAGCACTGCAGTTCAACTATCTCATTTCTTTTCATTAACTGAAGAGGAATGAAACATACATGAAATGCCCTTATATTGAGTTGTACTAGTGATCTTGATGGTGCATCATGGCAACAGGTGATCCACCTGGCTCAATATTCTCGTGAACTTCAAGCTGGCTACCTGGGATAGAACCCAGGTCGCGAGCAGAGCTTTGGCTGCAGCACTGCAGTTCAACTATCTCATTTCTTTTCATTAACTGAAGAGGAATGAAACATACATGAAATGCCCTTATATTGAGTTGTACTAGTGATCTTGATGGTGCATCATGGCAACAGGTGATCCACCTGGCTCAATATTCTCTACAGTGACTTGTGGTATCCCTCCAAGGAGTTGGAAAAAAAACTTCTTTCCTAGTTACTGGCATCAGTGGGGCTGGAGATTTGATCTGAAACGAATAAGTAGATAAGACACTGATAGGCGTCAGACACTTCCCTTTTCATGAGAATCCGAACATCTTTACTTTCACAGCTGGGAGTCCCACGTGCAGGGCCATGTCCTATAACAATTACGCAGTGAAGAGTGCACCCAATTCCAGGTGAATCAAGGTTCTAGACCAGACACCTGCCCCTTCCTGCTACTTTAACTTCTTTTGGCTGGAGAGTTTGGACCTTGTGTGCATGAAACATGCAATTTGTTCTTAATTTTGTCACTAACCTGTGGATGCATGTGAGGAAGTGTCTGAATCTACATTAAGAGCATTGGTTCATCCCCCTCGGCTGCCTTTCAGAATAACTGTTATTGGGCTACATGACCTTTGGCTTGAATTGGTGGATAGGGCAGCTTCTTATCTTTTCCTGAACGATTGGAGTCTATGACGTTGTTCTGTAAATTAACACCTCATCACCTCCAGATCCTTTGGGATCTAGAGGGACTCATAAACGACCTTTGTTTATGGATTTATGTCCAAGCTCCTGTCATTATCTTCATAAGCACTGAATGAGTTTTTAATGCTTAATCCCTGTCTGAAAGAAGTTAAGGAAAGAAGAAAGGAAGTCCCAAGAAATGGGAAATATGCAAAGCAGGCAAAAAAGAAAGGCAAAGAAAGGGAGGAAGGAGCAAAACATTTTTGGGATAAACCTTCACAGGGGAATGAAAGGATTTGCTTGGACAATCAGGAATATTGTGGAATGAGGATGGATTCAGTTTTATTATGTAGGTTTGTGTGTAGTGATCCTTGTTAGTGGGTTAACATAGCATTCAACAGAGGCATGCGCGCTCTCTCTCTGTCTCTTCCGTACTCTGAATCTTAGCTCTTCCAACAGCTTTAACAAATTCCACAAGGCTACCTCAGAAAGAGCTGCCCCCCCCGGGTGCCAACGTCCCCTGGGTCAGAGCCGATTACACAACGATTCTCAGAGCATGGCTATTTCTGTCCTCCGTTTCATACGTTGAAGGAAACAGACATATTTCATTTCCCTTGCCCTCTGAAGTGTTCATGTCTCCCTTGCAACCTTAGCTAAGTCACTGTCTTTAGAAAGCAACCTAGCTTTCTGCATCTGGAAAACGACAGTTACGTTCAAGGAAATAAATGTTAGCAGATTGTCTTTATTCCATTGCCTGTAACCTAAAGGAAGCCACAGGCTTGAGTTTACAAGAGCAGGGCTGTTGAGGACAAAATATTTTTGGGATCACTCATTCATGGGGTCTCCATAAGTTGGAGGTGATTTGATGGCACATAGCAACAACATAACCCTGATGCTACTCAGATCTTATATCCTTGCATTGTGCTTCCCTCTTTTGTTTTTGTTGTTTCCCATTTCCTCACTCTCCGGGACACCGAGTTTGTTGTGAGATTTCCTGCTGATTGCAGGAGATCCTTGCTCGTGGAATCTTAACAAGACTGTGTGGTTTATCATCCATGCCTTGATAATGTGTACCCCAAGGGGACACAGTTAATTTTCCAGGTTGCCCTTAGTTTTGTCTCATGGCATCACCCCCTCCAGGTTCTCTGGTGTCTTCCCTCAAAGTTTTCTTACCCATGTCCTGCTGCTTATTACTGTAAGCGGAATGTGTTCTTAAGAGAACCAAGTGGGGTGCCGTTGACAGAGAGAGAGACTATGGATGCAGGAGGCCTTGGTTCAAATCCCCACTCGGTTGTGGAAATTCCCTAGTGGTGGTGGAGGACGACTAACTGGTAAAACCACCCCCTAAACATCTCACTTTTCTTCAGAGCCCTGCGAGGGTCGCCGTAGGTCAGAAGGCACACAACATGTTATTAACATAACAGCCATTGCAATGAGAAAAAAATGGTTTGACAGCTTTAAGATCTCTCTGTCCTTAAGGATTAATAACTCTGCTGCTTGTAAAGGGGCTGTCTGACCCAAAACGTGCTGCTTGTTACCAAGAACAGAAACAATTTTTTTAAAAAAGGAACAAAATGCCGTTACTTACCTTGAAAATGAATTTCCATTGTTAATAAGGCTAATTGTCATCTTCTGAATCTCAACTGACTTGGTTGTACCCCATTTATTTATTTGTTTGTTTGACTTTTAGACCACCCACCCAGCTGAGCCAAGTCTGCTCTGGGCAGTTTACAACATTAAACAAACATAACATCATAAAACAACAATTTAAAACAAGGCATATAACAATTACAAAATCAAAATGAAACACATATACATAGCAAATTCAACTAAAAGTAATGAAAGTAATATAAAGGCGTATGTAAACTTAACAGTTGAATATTCCACTTCCTGTATCTGAAAAACTGGACTGTAGTCCTCAGAGGTCCACACTTAAATGAATCCTCCAGTCTTATACGTAGGTGCTACAAAAATTGTGTTTTTGTTACTGGTGTGCTTTTCATTGAAAAAGGTGGGCATGGCTTTCCAAAAAAATGATCTTTTAGAAAAAGAGTTAAAACTACTTTCAAAAATACAAACTGGCCCCAGAGTGGCTAAAAATCTTCCAGAAATGATGCCACCAATTTTTTTGAAGTACATTCATGTGGACAGTGTTACCACTCATTGCATTGTATTGTAAAAGGAATACAGTGGTGCCTCACTTAACGAGTGCCCCGTTTAACGATGAATCCGCATAGCAATGAGGTTTTTGCGATCACAAAAGCGATTGCATTGCGATGTTTTAGATGGCCAAAAATTGCTTTGCGATGATCGGTAAGCGTTTCGCTTACCGATTTTCGCATAGCGATGTTTTAAAAACAGCTGATCGGCGGTTCCAAAATGGCTGCCGGGAAATGGCCACCCACAGTGTTTTTGCGCCCTTTACTCGCTTACTGGGTAGCAAAAATGGCGGCCAGATGGAGGATTTCCTCATAGCGGTGAGTTTTTTCCCCATGGGTTTTTTTCCCTGCATAGCGATGAATCCGGATAGCGAAGATTTTTTTGGCACGGATTATCGTCGCTATGCGGGGCACCACTGTATTGATATGTCCTTGTGGCTCCAAAACAAGGTGTTGCAGATAATATCCATGTTAGTAGCATTACAGCCCTGCTCAGAAAAAGAGCTGAGGTGTGTTTTCCTCTGTGAGCGCTGCTGTCTTTTGTCCTTCCATTAGGTGGCCATGGAGCACCATGTATAAAAATACAGATCATGTATTACTGTGAGAAGGGAGGGGAGGGGAGAAGATAAGCTGGAACTGAACAAAAGCCACCCCAATTTGTTTGTCCTTTTCCTTGAGCTTGACCTGGGTCATAGTTTGCATTGTTTTCAACGTCAGTGAACCAGCTGGGCAAATACTAGAAAAGGTTTGGGAGCAATACTTTTGTTGAAGAGTTACTGTATTATACTTTGGCCTTCAAGCTTGGCAGTTCCAAATTCCGGGACATACCTTGTAAGCTTTACTCAAACAACCAGGAAGCCAGTTCCAGTTTAGTCAAGGTCTGTAATCCTGTTGTGCAACTTTATGCCACACAACAAGGATTATGTCATCAGCCGCTCTTTCAGGGCAGTTAAAAAAACAGATGATGATTTTCTGGCGTTAAAGCAAAGGGTAGGGTCCTGGTTATGTACTGCCCCATAGTGCTTAAAGCACTCTCTGGGTGGTTTACAACAAGGATTATGTCATCAGCCGCTCTTTCAGGGCAGTCAAAAAACAGATGATGATTTTCTGGCGTCAAAGGAAAGGGTCCTGGTTCTATACTGCCCCATAGTGCTTAAAGCACTCTCTGGGTGGTTTACAATTCAGTTCAATTATGCAAGATACACATCCCCCCCCCCACAAGCTGGGTACTTCAGTTCAGTTATGCAAGATACACATTCCCCCCCCCCAAGCTGGGCACTCAATTTACCAACCTCAGAAGGATGGAAGGTTGAGTCAGCTGAATCCACTGGGATTGAACCCAGATCGTGAGCAGAGTCTTCACTGCAATATTGCAGTTTAACTACTGCGCTGCCAAGCGCTAATATGTTCCCCTTCCTGTTTTGCAGCTCCCAAAGGCTGTTATGCAAGATACACATTCCCCCCCCCCAAGCTGGGCACTCAATTTACCAACCTCAGAAGGATGGAAGGTTGAGTCAGCTGAATCCACTGGGATTGAACCCAGATCGTGAGCAGAGTCTTCACTGCAATATTGCAGTTTAACTACTGCGCTGCCAAGCGCTAATATGTTCCCCTTCCTGTTTTGCAGCTCCCAAAGGCTGCCCCAAGAGAAAGGTGACCTCTAAGGATCCCCGAAACCTGGGGGAAAGTTTTTTATTGCCCTGAAATGGCTTCAATGGATGACATAATCCTCATAGTGGGGTGCAGCTCTGCTAGCAGAATATCACACTTGCTCTAGAAGAATGGCTCCCAATTTTGGGTAGCCCAGATGTCCTTGGACTTCAACTCCCAGAAATCCTGGCCAGCAGAGGTGGTGGCGAAGGCTTCTGGGAGCTGTAATCTTAAGAACATCTGGAGGGCCAAGGTTGGACACCACTGCTCTAGAAGAATGGCTTCCAATTTTGGGTAGCCCAGATGTTCTTGGACTGCGGTTCCCAGAAATCCTGGCCATCATGGCTAGTGGGGAAGGCTTCAGGAAACTCCAGTTCAAGGACATACCCAAGGTTGGGAACCGCTGCTCTGTAGAAGATACCTGTACATTCCAATGTTACATATTGTATATTTGGGGTTGCCGGAAAGTCATCCCAAAAATGGGCTTCAAGGGATTTCTCTGAAATGTGTTAACACTATTGTGTGAAAGATTGTGATGCAGAAAATGATTTTTTTTCCCCCTGTGAGCCATGCATTTTCTGTAATCCTTAATTCTGTGCCTGACTCCAGTTGCTGGACCATAAGATTTTAGTCAGAAAACAAAGTAGATCATAGAAGTCTGAAGTTGGCCCGTTGCTGCTCTAAACTACACTGGTATCTTAATTCGGAGCAACCTCTTGCCTTCAGAAACAATGCCTGCTCTTTTTGTCTGTAGAGAAATGGGCACAATGTACGTTTAATCCACAGACTTTTTGTGGGCTTTGCCAAACCGTGGGCACATCAAGCGAGCCAGCTTGAAAACCCAAACAGGGTTAACAGCCAGCCAGCGAGTTCTTAAACGTTTGAAGGAACATCTTTGCATCATGCTGTACATCTGATTGTCTTCGCAGTTACAAACATACAGATATGAAGAAATTAACCTGTGAAGGACCCCCAATGGAAATTCCTGCAGACTTCACTGGCAAGTTGGATGTGATCTATTCTTATTCTGTGAAATTTGAAGTAAGTGCAAGAGAGTGTTCAATTATGATTTTGTAATCTGTTTAGATTTTCAGTTTTTATGCATTGCAGGTTATGCAGTGTAAGCAATTATCCCTTGTTTTTCACAATGAATGGCAAAGGCATGCTGTCTAATCACCTAACCAACATTCACACATGCGTTTATCTCCCCTGCAGAGTGTTTGCATGACTTTTAAAGGGTTTTAAGCCACAAACTTTGCAAAAGTTTGCAAGGACCTCCCAGGAACATGTGGCACCTAGAGCAGTTTTGAGTTTCATGAAGAGAGAGAGATGAACCTTTTTGTCATCAGTTGACGAATGAACAAATTGTTTGTGTTTCAGTAGCTAGGTCTTGCAGCTGTGTCCTGTGCTTGGTAGCTGATTCTAATTTGGCTGACCAAAATTGACACTCTGTGAAAAGATAGCATTGGCGCTGAAATACCAGTTGGCAACTGTTTGGAGAGAGGTCTTGGTTGAATATGACACAGTGTCAGTAGTTGCAGAGGTGGCTTAGCCCCTGGGTTTCAAGATCCTTGAGACTTATGTTGAGAACAGATGGGAATTAAGGTTAGGGACTTTTTTTTTTAATGTTACAAAACTTCATTTTTTGTGAGAAAGTTCACAGGGATCATTAGCTGGCTTTGTATACGGACAACTTTCTCCCCTCCCCTTCTAAATGAAAATCTAAGCTCCAATCCATCCCAAATATGGTTGCCCCATTTTCGCTCCATTGCTGGGGGCATTCAAGAGAAAACTGGACAGCCATAGGTCAGATCTGCTTTGATTTGGATTCGTGCCTCGAGCAGGGGGTTGGACTTGGTGGCCCTTCTAACTCGGATTCTGTGAAATTTGACTTGAACCCGTGACCTTGAAGTAAAAAAGCCTGTATCCTGCTTCTTTTCCTAGGAAAAGTAGTTTTTGTGCTCCTGATTTGAAAGCCTGAATGAGCTGCCTGCCAGTATCGGTCATTTTCTAAAGTCATTTGGTAAACGTTGGGCGTGTAATACAGTGGACCCTTGACTTACAGACGGCTTGACTTACAGACTTATTGAGTTACAGACTTCTCTGGCCGCGAAATTTAGGTTTGACTTGCAGACTGAGATTTGACTTACAGACCAGAAAAAACCCAAAATGGAACAAAAGCGGCCTGTTACGGGATTAATCAGTTTTCAATGCACTGTAGGTCAATGGAGACTTGACTTACAGACTTTTTGACTTGAGACCGCCTTCCAATACGGATTAAGTTCTCAAATCAAGACCCCACTGTATTAACTTAATGGTTTTGACCCTGGTTAGGTGGGTGGTTGCTATCTCTGATATCCCTTAGCCGGTGGCTGTGATGTCTGTACTGAACTCTTTAAGCACTAGTATTAAGCATTGCCATCCCACAGCAAATGAATGTGTGCTTGTTTCTGAGTCTATCACAACAGGATTGGAACTTTGAGGTGGTGTTTTTGTGTAACTGTTTTGTGACAGACACTGGCCGGGAGCCTGCTGGCAATTTATGCGTGCGTAAGGGAAATCAGGTTAATCCGGGTGGCTTTTTGTTGGTCAGATCCTGGTTGCATCCCTAGGCTCATACCCAGAAAACCAACTGGTGTCTCATTACTGAACAGGCATTTGCCACCAGGACTAACGTGATTTCCCATACTCAGGCGTAAATTGCTCTTAGGATTCTGACTTCTATAATACAGTGGTGTCTCGCTTAGCGACGTTAATCTGTTCTGGAAAAAAACGTTGCTGAGTGATAACATCGCTAAGCGAAATTAAAAAGCCCATAGAAATGCATTAAAACGCGATTAATGCGTTCCTATGGGCTTAAAAACTCAACTTAAAGCAAAAATTCTCCATAGCACCACCATTTTCGCTGCCTCTTAAGTGAGGAAAAACAGCGGGCGGCCATTTTGAAACCACCGATCAGATGTTAAAAAAGGGTCGCTTTGCCATGATCGCTTCCCCGTGATCATCGCAAAGTGGAAAAACCCCATAGGGACCATTGCAAAGCGATCGCTTTTGCGATCAAAAAAAGTTAGTTGCTAAGCGATTTTGTCGCTCAACGGAGTGATCGCTAAGCGAGGCACACTGTATTACCATTTTTATTAGAACTGTGGGCACATAGAACATCTGTAATTTGGGAAAGGTAGCACCTCACCCAGTCTGCCAACCAAGGAGTCATTACTTGCAAAAAGCTAGTAAACTGATCTGTCAGATCTTCCCCGAGTATCAGATTAGATGCATTTCTCTCCCTCTTTGTTCATTCTTATGGCAGTGAGAATCAAATGTGTGTGAAGACTTGTATTTTGAGTCAAGCTCCTATTTTTTTCCTCCCCATGCAGGAGAACAATAATATTAAGTGGGCCTCCAGGTGGGACTACATTCTAGAGTCAATGCCCCATACCAATATCCAGTGGTTCAGGTAAGAGGTGTTACATTCTGAAAGAACAAAAAAGAAATGCAGAAAAACAGGGATCATCTCGATGTCCCTATTTCACTACTTCAGGTGTAGGGAAACTGAGATCATCCCGGTTTTCCTTCAGTATTTTTTTCCTGTTGTGGTTTAAAAAAAGATCCTGCTCAGAACAGGAAGCTTCTGTTGTTTTTATTTATGGAATAGCGTTTCTCAGTGTTGGCTCTTTGGGAGCTGCTCACAGTGTTATCCGAAGGAATGTGTCTTGGTATTTTGAAGAAAAGCAGATTTCTGCTTTTATCATCTTGGTTTCAGAGAATCTCTGAGATTTTCCAGTCGATCAGCTTCTTTTTTTTTAGGGGAATGAAGAAGATGCTGTCATGTTGTTTGCTTTGGAATTTTTATCTCTGCCTGCAGCCAGTACTCACTCTTAACAAAAACCACAGTGTGTATGGATTGCTTTTGCTCATCTCTTTGAAAAAAATAATGAAGTGGAAATCTCTCGCCTGTCTTGAGATGTCTTGCATGGTAAACAACATTTGAGACACTTCAGGCATAATGCCAAACTGTGAGAAGCCGGAAGATGGTGTGGCTGCACCAATGCTGTCGAGACAAAATGTGGTTGGTAGAGAGTCAGCAAACCACGATTGGAAACCATGGTCTGAAAACTGCTCTCAGAGCAGCTATAGCTTGCTGTTTACATGCAGACGTAGCTTTAGAAGTTCTTTTCTTTGGAGGCCATTGTTTAGAAAATCATAGGGGAAAGATGGGCGAAATAGCAAATTATACAAATTATAGTTTGCTTTACTAGTTCAGTACCTGTGGATGACCCTGATGACCTTTTGAATAAGCAATGATCTTATAATAGAACTGTATGAATGTAATTACTTAGTGTATTACTAGTGTGAACTTGCTACTTCTTTAGTATCAGATTGTCCAGAACAGTCCTATAGCTTCCCAGGTCTTGAGTTAAAACATCTTTTTTCTTTATGGGTGCTTCATAATGTAGAATGTTATTTGTTTTAACATCTGAAATGACTTCTTAATTCAGAACATCGCTTCCTTCTGGGCAGCGTTGCTTCTTTTGCTGCAGATTTTTCTCTCCACTTAAGTATTTGCCCGCTGTAGACTTCAAAGCCATAGCTGAAATCCATTAGTAAGTCACAGCAAGAGTAGGCCCATTGAAGTCAGTGGAACTTATAGAAGAGTTCCCAGCGATTCATTGGGCATAATCTAGGTGTGACTTACTCTGACAACCATTGTTGCAAGCTGGGCCATGCGTATTTGAAATCATCAGTCTTTTTCTTCGTTGGCAGCATAATGAATTCCCTTGTGATCGTTCTCTTCTTATCGGGAATGGTGGCCATGATTCTCCTGCGGACGCTGCATAAAGATATAGCAAGATACAACCAGATTGACTCGTCAGTAAGTAAGAGGGCACTCCTTTCAACCTTCTCAAACGGAGGGAACAGAAATACCTAAATCCAGGGCAGCTTTGAGATCTGTGGGAGAAGAAACCTAAGAGTGTTTATGACTACCAAAGCTTAGTGTAAAATGCCAGGCTTTTGGCTGTATCTGTTTCCATCATGGACATGAGAAAGCTTCCATTGGTTGTTGTAGGTTTTTCAGGATGGTTGGCCGTGTTTTGAAGGACTTTAGAACACGGCCAAACAGCCCGAAAAATTGAAGGACTTTAGAACACAGCGAAACAGCCCGAAAAACCTGCAACAACCATCGGATCTCAGCCGTGAAAGCCTTCGAGAATACATTGAACTTCCATTGATTTCTATGTTTGACTTTTCTTACCTCCCCTTTTTTTTGTAATTTGGGGATGGGGAATCTTCTGTACTGGTTTCTGAGGATGAATATTCGACTCCAGTTTCCTCCGCGCAGTGTGTGTCTTACTTTGGGAGCTTAGCTCACATTTTGTGTACCGTGTTCCTAGACGTTTTGCTTTGTGAATCCTTCCTTTTCCATTTTGTTAGAAAGCTACAGGTGGTCTGTATGGCAAACAGCTCCCAGGGCGGCCTATGTGAAGGGTTCTTAAAACTTTAGCCAAATAGACCGTATTTACTCAGCTAATTAAAACAGAAGCCTGCAAAATGCAGACTTCCCATCAGCTCTCATATGGAAGTAATGAACAGGCGTGCAAAAATCCTGCCTCCCCAGGGCGAGAAGCACCTCGTTTCATATGAAACAAATCAAGGACTTAGTTCTCATGGCTTGCTTAGGTAATTTGATTTCCTCCGTCTCTCAACCAGATACTGTCATGTTTTCAAGGCTGCAAAGTTTTGGTGGGACCAGGATGTAATTCCGAAGTTTTTTCAGGAAAGCAGTTTTGTTTGTTTATGTATTTATTTAACTTGTATGCCGCCCACACTACCCAAAGATTTCTGGGCGGCTTTCCCCATGAAGTGTTTAATTTGCTTCCACCATGACATTGTAGGGGGTGTTTAACATCATCACTTTCATGTTTTGGGGAGCCCAGGGCTTTAAAATGTCCTCTCCAGCTCCATGGTGTTTGATCCCATGCTTCGCAAAATGAATTGCTGCTCAGGATTCCTTTTTGGTCCTTTTGCAGCTTTGCTAGCTTGTCTTGTCTTAATTGCTCTTTAATTCCAGCAGGCAGAGGTACCCTTGGCTTTGGAGTACAGCTGAGTCCTGCCTAGGAATGGAAAAAGTATTTATTAAAGTCTTGTCCCTTTAGGCTGTTTCTGCTCAGCGAGAGATGTCAGTGAGACAGCGTCAAGCCCTGTAAAATTCTCTGCCTCTAAGTGAGAACGAGACAAGGAACACTTTTCTCCCCTTTCGGGTTCGCCATAATTTTGTCCGAAACATTCTCTGCTCAAAATGAGCGTCCTTTCCCTTTGAGAAGCAGAGTTCACTGAGTAAGAACAGGCTGCCTGGTTCTTGGGGGGAAAAGAAGATAGAAAATAATTCATCAGGTGCTTCTTATCCATAAAATTCCATGTAGCAAAGCAGCAGCCATTGGGCAAAATTTGCGGTATTTACATTAAAGCGTTGTTTACTCAGTTTAGCTTAATTCATGCAAAGCCCCACTCCAGTTCTCGTTTCTTATCAAGAGTGCCGTGGAAAACTGGCGCAACATGGCAGGTGGAGAATGTAGCATGTTTCATTCGAAGCCGTGTTGTTTATTTGATGCATTATTTTATTTCATTGGCTTGTTTGTAATTTTAAATATATATATATATCCAGTGTTTCAAAGACAGGAAAACACTTGGGGGAAGCTGGGGCTTGATTTGTCATGGTGTATTTCCTTCCTTGAGTGTCAATTTAAACTGCCTTGCTTGTTGGTAGAAGACAAAAAGGGATAAATGCATTAAATACGTGCAAAACACTTTAAATTAAATCCAGCCTTTTGTTTCCATATCAACTTCCATTATGGTACTCTAGCTAAGTGCGTTGATGTTTGTTTCTCCTTCTCAAGATAAGTGCTTCTTAATAAATCTACGTCTCCCACCCTCCACCAACCAGCAGCCCATTGAGGGGTTGTAAAATCAGTGAGTTAACGAAGCCGATGAAATGAGTCCCTTTCAGAAACAAAACCTGAAAGATAAATCGGGCTAGGAGAGTGGTTTTCGCATCTGTTGCACGATGGAGGTCTAATGGAGCTCTTTATTGCAGGAAGATGCCCAGGAGGAGTTTGGGTGGAAGCTGGTCCACGGGGACGTCTTCCGGCCTCCTCGAAAAGGCATGCTGCTCTCTGTCTTCCTGGGTCAAGGGACACAGATTTTCATAATGACCTTCATCACCTTGTGTAAGTCGTGCCGGAGGGGCTGGGATGGCCGGTGTCGATGCTGTGCCAGGGAGGGACGAGGGATCTCACCGGGTTGGAGAAAGTGACCGATCTCTGCCCCCAAGGAGATTGCAATCTGTGGTGGGGACGAGTGACACAAGGTCAGGTGCATCCTCATCTCCAACCATCTCAGGAGGAGTAAAAAAGAATTTTCAGGAGGAAAAGTGAAGATAATGCTCCTGAGATCCGCCCAAAGGCGAGTCACCCTTTGTGACCTTCCCCACCTGCCCCCCCCAATTGAAAAGTAGCGGTGTCTGAACTCGGAGGTGAATGTCTGGCTGGTTACGTTTTTGTAAAAGGAAGGTGGTGTGACTGGCTGTGGCTCCCAGGGAGGGCGCAGAATTGGGTGGTGGACCCTCTGAAGGCGGCCCACGCTTGTCACTGGGAAAGGGGGAGGGAGAGAAGGCACAGGGTGGTGGCCATATGGGCCGAATGCAGGCCAGGTGGAAGACTGGCATAAACTGGCCCATGATTCAGTGGGGAAAAGGTACAGAAGTCCGCAGTTCTGAGGCTTCTCTGCACGCTGAGCCAGGCGGAATGGGGCTGCCAGGGTCCTGGCTGATGATTTGCAATCCCGAGGACCAGGACATTTTTTTTGAAGCTGAGTTTAGAAGCAAGTGAGCTACAGGGCACACACAGCCTTTTGGGGCTATTGTGTGTCTGCTACATTCTTTATTTTACAAAAATAATACTTTGCAAGTGGAAAACCATGCTTCTGGAAGAATACTACCTCTGAAAGTTTCCAGAAACTGAAATTATTTCCTTAAGGAAGGTGCAGAGCTTCCCTCTTCCCCGATCATTCATTTTAGCCCTCAAACCAATTTTTTTTTTAAAACTGAAAGCTAATTTTCAGTTACTTCCAGTTTTATTGGCAAGAGCTATGGGTGGCCTGTGATTGGCCCCAGACTGTTAGAGGTTGCGCACCCTCGTTCTAAACCTCAGTGCATGTGTATGAGAGAGAGCGAGAGCGAGTGCGCGCAAGCAAGCCAGAGCCTTTCACTTGGTGAATGTTCTTCTCCTAAACACCTCTTTCTTTTGTTTCTTCTTCCAGTCCTTGCATGCTTGGGTTTCCTTTCGCCTGCTAACCGAGGGGCCTTGATGACTTGTGCGGTTGTCCTCTGGGTCTTGCTTGGGACCCCAGCAGGCTACGTCTCTGCCCGAATGTACAAAAGTAAGTACATGCCCTGGCCATAGGCACCCTACATGTATCAGACTCTCACAGTTAACTCTGCACATCTGAAGAAGTGTGTTCTGCCTGCGAAAGCCTGAGCTGTAATAAGTTTCTGAGCCTCCGAGGTGCTCTTTGACTCTATTATTTTGTGGCAGCAAATAAACTTAGCTGCTCCGTGGAAGTGGCAGACCTTGAGTAATGTGTGCATTCCACTTTCAGCCGTTGCCACGTGATTTCCTTGTTCAGATCCTTACCCAGTGTTTGCTGGATGACCCTGACCAAATCTCTGTTTCTTGGGTTCCTTTTTCTATACTTTTGGAGACTGGGGTGTCCTTCTCCTGCAAAGATGAGAAGCCGTGAACTAGAGATACAGAACGGGAACATGTGTTCTTACCAGTGTTGTCCCCCCCGCCCCCAATGAGCTTCTGCAACCTTGCTTTGAAACATTAGGGATGGCAGGACCCTATTAAGACTCACACCGCTCTCTGTTGGGTGAGTGGATTTACCCTGTTGAAGCTGTTCTGCCCGCCTCGGCTCTCCGCTTCCCCCTACCCTGCGGCCATGAACGGAGAACGCTGCTAATAGTCTAAGGAAGTTGCCATAGAAGCTCAGATCAGCTTTGTGGGCTCCAGAACAGGGCAATGCTGGTTGGCCTGCTACTGGACCCCCTGTTATCTCCTGAAGGCCTGCGTACAAAACCTGATGTTTTTTTTTTCTTTACCAGCATTACGTAGAATCTTAACCAAGGTTTTAAGAAACTTGGGGATGGAGGATAGCATCAATCTAAAGGTCAATTTGGGGTTGCAGCCATTGATTATAGATGGGTTTTGGAAGAGAAATGTGTACCTTTGAGTTTGGTTCAGGTTCCGTAAGCAGGGCACATTCAAACCGGTTTGCGACCTCATGATATAAAAGCTGGCATTCAAACAAACAAGATTGGTTTCATACTCTTCGTTATTCTAAGTGTCCTAGATGCAGTAATTATATTTTTTCCCTCTTACTTTGCAGCCTTTAGAGGTGAAAAATGGAAGACCAATGTGTTGCTGACGGCTCTCTTGTGTCCTGGGTTCGTATCCCCTTTTCCATTTCCTGTGCACAATTCATTTTCTGCACTGTTGTCTCTGAAAATTAGCGTGCATGACAGCTTTGGTTGCTTACAACACTTGACAGACGATATTTTAACTATAATACAATCATGCTCAGGCAGCTTTTGATATATACGAGTGGAAGTAGCTGTTAGCTGGGTTGCCATGCTTGTTACTTGTCTTTTTTAAAAGCACCCCCCCCCAAATAAATAAATTTGTATTTGAAAGCCAGATGCATGGCTCGCATCTGCAATCATTTGAGAGTAGAAATAATGTTCAGCCATTTGCAAATGTCCTCTTCAGACTGTGGCATCAGATCTAGATTATTAGCGAATTTCTGAGTAAGTAATTGCATTCCATGCTTAACTTGAGCATGGGAATTGTATTTTTTTAAGAGAACTTATCTCTCTGCCAACATGGCACAGGGGAAGGTGCGATCAGAAAAAAACTAACTTTTCCAACTCCTCAACACAATCAAGGATAAGGATTATGCTTGAACAGAGTTAGTGATTTTACTTTCACTGAAGTGATGCAGTCTTTTCAAATCATCCTTTCTGAGAAGGGAAGTGTGAGGCTCTGCTGTGTGACACTCCGGCGAAAGAGCGTGGCTGTATGAGAGCTGATCCTCTGCTCTGGTTTATTGTTTGGGAGAACCTCCCCATTTGGTTGGCTGCCTTTCGTGGTTTTTTAAGTCCAGCTATGAAAGGGGGCTTATTTTGCATCTAGTTTGGGTGATGCAATGTGGACAGTAGAGTTTCCATTGCTGCATGTGGTCCTCTTGCTTTTCCCCTCTGTTCCATTAATTGTGCAAGGCAGCACAGGCTTCTTAGGACAGCGGGCATCATTCCCCATTCTACCTACACTTTTTCAAAGGGAAAGGAAGGGGTAGACCTTAACAAAACAGGGGCGCTAGTCTTAAAGGCCATGCCTTCAGCTCCATGGAGGCATAATGCTTCTACATGGATGCTTGCAAATGACACCATATTTGGAGGCTGATTCACAAGCCATGGTTTGTATTAATGATGGTTGAACGTTACATTTGCACTGAGCAAACCACGGCTAAGACAGTTTTTGCATCTCCACCGGCGTCTTGATGAAGGGGCCTTGCTGGTCTTGTCAAGGTTAGTTACGTAGAGCTGTAAAACTTCAAAATTAAATACAAAAAAAAGAATAAATAAGTGGTCTACTTGAGTATATTAGAATTAGATGAGTTGTAGGGGGCAGGGAATAAAATAGCCAGCAGTTTTTTTATGCTGATATTAAGAGTCCCAACCAGCAACCTGCCTCCTGCTGTCCTCGGGATGCTATCTCAGTAGAGCCCAAACTGCAAAACGCCATGCTGATACTTAAATTCCGGTATATAAATTCCATTTCACAGAAGTAGAATGATTGCCTAGCATGGTGGGGTGGGGGCGGGAGAGAGAGAGCGCGCGCAAAATAAGAACAGATGTCTTGATTATGCTATGCTAGTTCAGCAAATTTGCATAATGTCATAAACAGCCTGAAGCAATTACGTACCCTGTGGATTGATTTTGAGAATTTGTTGATGGGCAGGATTCCCCCCCCTCCTCCTCTCGTTTAGTTAGCGTAAAGAGATTTTTGCTTAGCTTTCTTGATCAGAGCGTTGACAGAATAATTTTTGAAAAGCCCTGCCTTTGTAATGTGACGACTATTTACAAGATGTTCTTTTTGCAAGAAGTTAAATGGCATTTGTGAGCCCGGTGGCCTGCCGGCAACGAATCTTTGTGGCCAGGGGGTGGGTGGTGGGTGGGGGAGAAGCTATCAGTTAGAGGGTTTAATGGAATTGGCGGCTTCCTTGCGTTTGGTCCGGTATTGCCTATGACAGAGCTGCTTGGGAGAGGATTGTCAAATTGGCTGCGAGAATGAATGTGTAATGAGTCCCGGGTTGCTGAGCTTTTCATTGACCCTTCCTGAAGCCAACGGATGTGCAGCTGACGCCCCTTCTGTTCACAGGGCGGTGGTACTTCCAGTTGCCAGGTGATGCTCCATAGGTGCCCTGAAATGATGAAACTGCGGAAGACAGGGTTTATTCATCATCAGTCTGCTGGTGTGTGTATTGATGCCCCTTTGCAGAGGGGAGATGCATTCTTCCCCTTCTTGGATATTTATGTATGAACATTAATTACAAGTGTGTGTGTGTGTGTGTGTGTACGTACGTACGTACGTACGTACGTA